AGAATCCCTCTTTCCTGACCTGAGACAGGAATCTTACATCCTATGAAGATAGGAACATTCATTGTAACAGCAAACACACCCCTTGAGCGTGGTTCCAATCCATCCTGGTCTTGTACTCCGAAGGCAGATAAAGGTGACAGAGACAAAGCGACAGTTTCCAACAAGAGGCAAGTCAGAGAGCACAGCAGAAATCCGATGCTCAGCAGCTTTGGGGGTTCCATGGGCCCTCCAGAGGGCCTGCACCGAGGGGAGATGGCTTTTTCCTTGGCTCGTCCCAAGGCAGCTCTGTCTGAAAAGTCAGAAAATGGTGGTTTAGATTTTATTGCAAAACTAAAGCTATTATGAACACAAGAAAAATTCACTTACTGACACTGTTGAATCCTGAACACAGTCAGTTTCCAAGGCAAAAACCATCCCGCCTTCAAGAAACAAAACAACACAAGACAGAAACTGACTGTGCTCCATCGGATCAGGTACCTGACATCCCCTCCTAAACCACATGCCCCTTTGGGCTTTTCCAGCTCAATTAGTGGAAACTCTTAAGTTGTTCAGGCCAAACCCTGTGGTGTCATCTTTGACTCAGCCTTTTCAGTCCCACATCCTTTTCATTTTGTTTTGTTTTCAGTTGGGTTTATTACTGAATCAGCAAATAAGCAGTATAAATGGTTAACCAGGTATGAATTTCAGTGGATAAGGGGGCACAGTCCATCATGGGGGTGGCGGTGGCCCAGAAGTTCTGCAGTCACAGGAGTTTGTAGCTTCCTGCTTGCTGCCACTGAACAGCCAAAGAGATCTCACTTTGTTGTAAGTCAGGTAGTATCCCACTGACTTCCCTGACCTCATGGCCTATTATCCACTCTTGATCGCTCCACCTCAGCCTCATTTCCTCTGGAACAAGCCACACGTGCTCCTCTCTGTTTTGTTCACATAGGCTGTTCAGGTGCTCAATAAATATTTTTTGAATGAATGAATGGGTGGTGAATTTGGGCAGATAGTGTTCATTGCCTGTCATCACCACACCCTCTTCACTTATTACGTGCAACCAGAGAGGCTAGAAAAGTGGAATCCGCTTTCTCCCAGCCAGTCTTGCTGCTAGCAATGGCTGTGGAACATAGTTTTGGACACTGAAGCATAATGGAGATCTGATGGGTGGCTTCCGGGAAGACTTTCTGCTGTCTTGATAAAAGAAATGGCGCTACCATTTCCCCTTTGTGTTGCCTTGAACATTCTTTAAGTGTTACCTGGGGCTGGAGGAGCCATCCTGTGACCATCAGGCGATGGACACCAGGAAAAGGCCAAGAAAATGACATCTATTCTGGCTCTGAAAATTTTAAGCCACTAAACCAACACCTCTATCTGCCCACCTCTCAACTACTAGGTCTGAGAAAAATAAACTCCTATTTGAGCTTTCTATTACTTAAGACATTTAGAACTGACATTCTCATCCACTGTTGAGACCCGTGTCAGGTAAGGTGGCAAAGAAGCCAGTGAATCAGGCCTCCGTCTTAAGAAGAAGCTGGCCAGAGCCTTCCTTTAAGGTTTCTGAAGTTCCAAATAGAATTCTACTCCTCCTTATGATGTCATTTACTGCATTTGACCCGCCCCCAGTCTCCCTCTATTTGACAGCTAAGCATACAGATGTTTTCTTCTGTCTATGCATAAACATTTGTGTTGATACTGAAACCCATCCTCATGGGATATAGCCATATCCTCTTGGGCTTGAAGATTTCTAAGATATTTTGTTTGCCACATGGTATCTACTGCACCTTCAAATAGTGTATGTATGGGATTTTAATAGATGATAAAGGTGGCATTTCATTTCAGTGGGGAAAAAGAGATGGTTTAATGTGACGACTGGCTATTCTATTCATTCGGATGCACTGACTGAAGTGAGAGCCATACACACAAAAATAAATTCTAGATGGATCAAGGACTAAACAAAAATAAAACCATATACATATCGGGATAAAACATGAGTGGAGTTTTTTGTAGTCTTGGGGTGAAAAAAGCTACTTTGAATATGTCATAAAACCCCAAAGCCATAGGTGAAAATAATGATAAATTTATTGCATAAAAATGTAAAGCTTTCATACAGCAAAACATTGTAAAGAAAGATAAAAGATTAATGACAAACTAGGTGAAAAATTCCACAACACATATGACAGATAATAGGTTAATGTCCTTAACATACAAAGAACTCTTACAAATCAATTTTTAAAAAAAAAATGATGATCAGCTCCATAGAAGAACTGGCATAAATGAATCAGTCAGAAAAGCAATGGATAAATAAATTGTGATATATATTATATAATGGATTACTTTACTGCAATTAAAGTGAGCCACTAGGAAATATATGCAATAAGAGTTGTTTCCAGTTTGGAAGTGTTATGGGTAGTTTTGCCCTGTCTCTTGGTTCACATGGCAGTTCTGGGTCTAGGTCATTACCCAACAGAATTGCCACAGGCTATCTTTATGCTCAACTTTTGTAGATAATGCCAGACTGTTTTCCAAAATAATTATACCACTTTGAGTTTATTTTTGTATATGGTATGAGGAAACGTTCTAATTTCATTCTTTTACATGTAACTGTTCAGTTTTCCCAGCACCACTTATTGAAGAGACTGTCTTTTTTTCATTGTATATTCTTGTCTCCTTTGTCATAGATTAATTGACCATAGGTGTGTGGGTTTATTTCTGGGCTCTGTATCCTGTTCCATTGGTTTATGTGTCTGTTTTTGTCTATTTTTGAGCCACTACCATACTGTTTTGATGACTGTAGCTTTGTAATACAGTCTGAAGTCAGGGAGCATGATTCCTCTAGTTTTGTTCTTGTTTCTGAAGATGTTTTGGCTGTTCAGGGTCTTTTGTATTTCCATATAAATTTTAGAATTGTTTGTTCTGGTTATGGAAAAATGCCCTTGGTATTTTGATAAAGATTGCATTAAATCTGTAGATTGCCTTGGGTAGCATTGTCATTTTAACAATATTAATTTTTCCAATCCATGAACACAGTATATTTGTCCATCTGTGTCATCTTCAGCAGGTTCTTGTAGGTTTCTGAGTACAGGCCCCCCATTAGCCAAATCAGCTGGAGTATGATTGCAAACACTGAACTTGTAAAAGGGATCCCAGGAGATCTGGGCGATGCAAGTACAGCATTTCTCACATTAGGTTCACTACATTCTGCTGCAGCCTCTCCCGGATTCTGTTGTTTGGTCACAACCTCTAGAAAACTTATAAAAGGGGGGTTTGTGGGATGGGCCAGAGCCCAGACTACTGCCTTTACTCCTTCTAGTGCTAATGGATGTCAAGGTTAAGAATCTCTCTCTCTGCTACCGGATCAAGGCTCCATTTCTAATTTTTTAAATGTTAGCTTCACCTCATAAATTATAAAATTTCATTGTTCACATTTTTATTTCCAGTATAAAAGCACAACTCTCAAAGGCATTTGTTTTCACACATCAATGCTTTGTTTACCTGATTATTGAGGGAACCAGCGGGAAGACAAAAGAGCTGGTTCCAAGAGCATTTGAAAAATAAAGACGTATGTGGTCAATGGGAAAAGAATGCCAAAACAAGATGATTAAGCTAGACACAAAAGTGGTTAACCTTTTACAGGGAGTCAAACCATATCACCTTATTGATTTCTGTAAATTAACCTCTAACCTTAATGGACTTTTACAGGACAGTAAACCATTCCCAACCTTATCTGTCAGGGATGGGGCGAGGTGGGGGTTCCTCTTGGGCAGTTAGGGTACAGAATTTCCTGGTACATTTTGTTGTGTCGTTTCAGCAGGAAATTAGCTGAGGAGGGAGTAAAATGAGTGTGTGATTAGAATTACAATGTTGTATCTCCTATCCCAGAGAGCCATGGATTTTCCTCATTTTTCTGTGGAAATATTAAAAATATGTCCTTTAGAAGCCTAGTATGATCATGACCTTTCTTGGTCACCACAGAGGCGGAAGTGGTGGCCGTGTCCAGAGGAGAATGCTTTCCAGCTGAGTTTCCTCATTGCCTTTTGCCTGATTACCTTGGAAGGAAGGACCAATCTGGGAGCGGCCGCAGCAAATGCGCAAGAGGTAAATTGGATGCAACAGCCCCAGAGAACGCAGGACGCATGACGATTGATTTGGGAGGCTTCAGGGCATATCTGCAGGGACTGAGGAGTTGAAATACACAGAAAAACGATGGCACCGTGGGCGGCGTGGGGCAGGAAGTGACCCGGAGGGCGGGCTCAGAGGGATGCTGGACCCGAATCAGGAAAGGGCCCGGGGCCAGGAAGGAAGGACCGGGCCTCAGTACTGCTGCTGCGCCTCGCAGCCCAGAAGCTCCAGCCTCAGGGCGATGTGGTGCGCCCAGCTCTGCGGGTGAATTCGAAGGAAGCGGGTAAACAGCGGGGGGTCTAGAGCGTTCACCACGGGTGTGAAGGAGTCTTGATTTCCCTGAAAAATCTGAAAGAGGAGAGATAGCATTTGTTGGTTGACAGGAAAAGAGTTATAATGTTTACACACACACACACCCAAGAGGCTCCCCAAGTCCATTGGCCTCCTGCTTGGTCTGTAACTCTCCCTAAGCTCCGCCCCCTCATGGGCACCCACTCCAATGCCCATCGCCCAGCACGCACGCTTTTTTTCACTTCCAATTGAGGGATCCACGCTTCCGGTAGTCCAGGATTGAACTCTGGGAGGTGACTGGATGACCGGGTCCCCTGCCTCTGTACCTGGGAAAGTGGTTGTGACATCTAGAATTAAGAGCATCCTTGCTAACCTCCTGTGGAGGCCGTGCTTCCAGCTATGGCTTCCCTCTGGAATCTTCTCACCCACTTTCCCAGCTAATTCAAGGAAGTTGTAAACATCATGATATTTTACTCCCAAATACTTCAACCTGCCAAGCCTTTGGGTCTCAGTTTAAATGTTATCTCTGAAACAGGACTCTTGTTGACTCTGAATCTCCTCTTGTTCATTTCCTTTACACCATTCCGAATCTTCTCATTTATCTGTTTACCTGCTTATTGACCATTTCATTTGTTTTCACCACCAAATGTCGGTTCCATGACAGCAGAGACCTTGGTCACTGACCTTCCTCACGTACAATATATATAGTATATACGTAGCAAATATACTATAAACATTTGTTAAAGTTTGTGTGTTTGATAAAACTTTCGGGAAACAAAAGAGATTCTTGGATAAATATTTGTGGCACACTTTGGAGGCTTGTACATCTTCTGTTAGACTTATTCCTCGATCTTTTCCCTCAAGAAACTGAAAGAATAATACAAGGAACACTTAAATCTCCTTTAATCTACAACAGACTCCTAGTCTCTGGTCTTTTTTTGTCCTTCATGGTGTTGACAATTTAAAAAGTCTAGGACCATTGCGTTGTAGAATGTCCCACATTCTAAATTTGTGTGACTGTTTTCTTATTATTAGATTTCAGTTCAACATCGTTAGTGAGACTATTAACTAGGTGATGTGCCTTTCCCACCATATCACATCAGAGGACACGTGATGCCGATTCCTCCAGAGTTTGACCCTTAGTTAAGGTGATGTCCACCAGATCTCTCCTTTATAAAGGTAATAACTTCCCTTACCTAACAACCTGTGGGGTTAGACTTTGAGACTGTGTAAATATTCTGTTCCACATTAAGCTTTCATCCAATGGTTTTAGTATCTACTGAAGTTCCCTACAAGTATTATATACTGTATTGATGGTTGGTTTCTTAATTTTGTCACGTCTTCTACGTTTATTAGCTGGAATCCTTCTGTGGAGAAGAACGTCTCCTCTCCCTTTATATTTTGATGATGATAATGGACTCCAACATGTTCCAGTAACACCTGGCAGTTTCCTGGCTCTGGTCTTGGACTCTCTAAGGAACCCAGGTTCCTTTTACTAGGAAATGGTATTTGGAAACCAAGACTGTTCTGGGTTGGCTTAGGCTCTGCTCCAGGCCAAGGCTCACGTACACCATGTCTTCTCAGCTTGGACATTTTTATCTCATGGCAGAGAGCAGAGGCACCAGAGACTGAGCCAAACACAGGATCACATTGAAAGCTTCTGTTGGAAAGTGGTTTATATCATGTCTACTTACACTGCATTGGTCAACACGAGTCCTACTATGAAGACCAAAGTCAATGGAGTTTTCAAAAAAGGAGGAAGTGAAAAATCAAGAATAATACCTTTGTGACTTCCCTGGTGGCACAGTGGTTAAGACTCCACCTGCCAATGCAGGGGACATGGGTTCGATCCCTGGTCCGGGAAGATTCCACATGCCGTGGAGCAACTAAGCCCGTGTGCCACAACTACTGAGCCTGCACTGTAGAGCCCACGAGCCACAACTACTGAGCCCGTGTGCCTAGAGCCCGTGCTCCACAACAAGAGAAGCCACCGCAATGAGAAGCCCGCGCACCGCAATGAAGAGTAGCCCCTGCTCGCCACAACTAGAGAAAGCCCGGGTGCAGCAACAAAGACACAACGCAGCCAAAAATAAATAAGTAAATAAATAAATAAAATAAAAGAATAATACCTTTTACCTCATCTGCTATTTTCTGTTCATTCATCACAGCAATGAGGTGATTTTACAATATGTAGTCAGAGATAAGAGGTTTGGGTGGCTTGTTAGGTTTCTTAGTCCACAAGCACCCTCTACTGTTGATAAAGAGAAGTGCAATTTCTGTAACAGATGGGATAGGAAGATATGTCTTGTGATTTTGTGACTCATTTTTGCTTTTCCAGAACACTTAATTTCCACCACTGAAACTTATGGTACTCTTTGTCTTCTAGTTATTCTGTGAGTTATGGGTGGTTTTATTTGCAATTTTAAAATATATCTACAGAGAGATAGTTAGATAGAGAGATGGTTTTTGAAGGCTGTATGGAGAGATTTAGGCAGCTGCCATTATTTGATGAGAATGTACAACTCAGTATTTGGAATTTTAAAATGCTATTTTAAATTATTTTTCTATTTGTTTCTGGCATGTAGAAATACAATAAAATTTTCTGTTGTTTTTTTTTCAGCAAGCTTGCAAACTTATCTTAGTAATTCTAATAATTTAGATAGATAGATTCTTTTGGATTTTCTATGTATGCCATCGTATCTTCCACATATTATGAGAGGTTTTTTTTTTCCCAATCCTAACACATTTTATTTCTTTTTTTTACCTTACTGCATTGCTTAGGACCTCCAATACAGTTTTTAATAAAAGTGGATGGGGCAGATTAAAGATGGCTATGAATTTTTTTGATACTCCTCCCATGGAGAGGTAGGTGTATTTTTTTTTTTTTTTTTTCTTGCGTTATGCGGGCCTCTCACTGTTGCGGCCTCTCCCATTTGCGGAGCACAGGCTCCGGACGCGCAGGCCCAGCGGCCATGGCTCACGGGCCCAGCCGCTCCGCGGCATGTGGGATCCTCCCGAAACGGGGCACGAACCCGCGTCCCCTGCATCGGCAGGCGGACTCTCAAGCACTGCGCCACCAGGGAAGCCCAAGGTAGGTGTATTTTGACTTTTTTTTTTTTTGGCCGTGCCACGCAGCTTGCGGGATCTCAGTTTACCGGCCAGGGATTGAACCTAGGCCATTGCAGTGAAAGCGCAGAGTCCTAACCACTGGACCTCCAGGGAATTCCCTTGTTTTTTTTAAAAATTGAAGTATAGTTGATTTACAATATTGTGTTAGTTTCAGATATACAGTAAAGTGATTCAGTTATATATATATATATATATATATATATTTCCAGATTATTTTCCATTATAGGTTATTATAAGATATTGAATATAGTTCCCTGTGCTATACAGTAAATCCTTGTTGTTTATCTATTTTATGTATAGTAGTGTATATCTGTTAATCTGAAACTCCTAATTTATCTCTCTTCCCCACACCCTTCCCCTTTGGTAACCATAAGTTTGTTTTCTATGTCTGTGAGTCTATTTCTGTTTTGTAAATGAGTTCTTTTGTATCATTTCTTTTAGATTCCACATATAAGTGATATCATATGATATTTGTCTTTCTGTGTCTGACTTACTTCACTTAGTATGATAATCTCTAGGCCCATCCATGTTGCTGCAAATGGCATTGTTTCATTCTTTTTTATGGCTGAGTAATATTCCATTGTGTATATGTACCACATCATCTTTATCCATTCCTCTGTCCTTGGACACTTAGGTTGCTTCCATGTCCTCGCTATTGTAAATAGTGCTGCAGTGAACATTGGGGCGCATGTGTCTTTTGATTTGTTTTAAGTTGGGGTGGGCAATTGATTCTGTGGGCTGATAGAGTATGGTGGCAGAGGTGATGCTGTGCCAAGTTCAAGAGGACTGACAGCTTCCACCTTGGTTTCTTGGAATCTAGCTTTTATGTAAGAAGAGTGACTATCCTAAGACCACCATGCTGAGAGGCCCTGAAGAGACACCAGTGGATGAAAAGGTCAAGGAGAACCAAGATACCAGGTAGGTGAGCAAAGAAGCCATCTAGGAAGTAGATCCACCCGTCCATACCCACTGAAACCCCATGGATCACAGACAAACCAGCCAGACAGATCAACCTAAATTCCTGATCCACAAAATTGTGGCCAAGTTTCAGGGTAGTTTGTGATGCAGCAATAGATAAATGGTATCTTATTTTTAATCTCAAAGGGAAACCTTTCTGTGTTTCACCTAAAATATTATATTTGCTGTAAAATTTTTGTGAATATCCTTTATCAGATTGCGTAGTTTCCCTAGTAGTCTTAGTTTGCCAAATTTTCCCATTAAGAATAGATATTGAATTTTATGAATCTTTTTCTCAGCATTTATTGGCTGTATAATCCTGAAGTTCATTAATGTGATGGATTGCATTAATTTTCTAATGTTAAGCCAACCTTGCATTCCTAGGATAAATCTAACACATACATATTGCTAATATTTTGTTTCGGATCTATGTTCATGAGTAAAGTTGGCCTATTATTTTCTTTTCTAATAAAATTGTTTTTGTTGTGATTTGTTGTCATCATTTAAAGAGTTGGATAATGTAAATACAAGCTTTTTCCATTTTTCTGGAAGAATCTTTGTAATAATGGTATTATTTCTCCCTTGAAAATTTGGTAGAGTATTTAGTGTAGCCATCTGAATCTGGAGGTTTCTTTGTAGGAAGATTTTTGAACACCAATTCAATTTTTCAAAGGTTGTAGGAGTTTCCGCACTTCCACTGCAGGGGCCCAGGTTCCATCCCTGGTTGGGGAACTAAGATCCCGCAAGTTGCGGGGCGTGGCCAATAAAAAAAAATGGTTGTAGGAGTTTCAGGGTTTTTGATTCCTTCTTGAGTAAGTTATATTTACTAGAAATTATCCATTTTACCTAATTTTCCAAATTTACTGTCATAAGGTTAATAAATATCCTCATTTTTTTTATGTTGGCAGGATTTTACTGGGTGGTAAAATCAGTCATGCAAGTTGGAAATTTTTTTTTTTTTTTGCTGTGGCTGCACAGGGAAGTCCCTGAAAAAATTTTTTTAGTTTTTGCTTGAATGCATGAAAAATATTTCACCAGATTTTCTTTCTTTTGGGGGCAGGTTTCAGATTTTTCCTTTTAGCATCACATGGATATCATTAATTATCTTCTGATTTTCATTATTGCTTAGAAATCGCCTGTCAGCTTGTCACTCTTATTATGGTAATGTATGTGTCTTCTGGTTCCTTTTTATTGTGGTAAAATGTACATAACATAAAACTTATCATCTTAACCATTTTAAATTGTAAAATTCAGTGGCATTTAGTACATTCACCATTATCTAGTTCCAGAATATTTCTATCACTCCAAAAGGAAATCCAGTACCCATCAGGAAGCCACTCCCCGTTTACCCTTCTCTCCAATCTCTGGTAATCACTAATCTGTTTTCTGTCTCTCTATATTTGCCTATTCTGGATATTTCATATAAATGGAATCATACAATATGTAGTCTTTTGTGTCTGACTTCTTTCACTTAGCATATTTTCAAGGTTCATCCATATTGTAGCATGCATCAGCATGTCTATATTTTTTTAATGGCTGAATAATATTCAGCTGTATGGATAGACCGGAATTTGTTTATCCACCAGTTGATGGACATTTGTGTCATTTTCACCCATTGGCTATTGTGAATAGTGCTGCTATGAGCATTTGCCTGCAAGTTTTTGTTAATTGCCTATTTTCAGTTCTTTTGGGTACACACCCAGTAGCAGAATTGCTGGGATCATATGGTAATTCTATGGTTTCCACAGTGGCTGCCTATTTCGCATTGCCATCAGCGGTATGGGTTCCAATTTTTCTACATCCTTGCTAACACTTCTTACTTTCTGTGTTAAAAAAAAATTATAGCCATCCTAGTAAGTGTGAAGTAATACCTCATTGTGGTTTTGATTTGCATTTTTCTAATGACTAATGATGTTGCTGTTGATGTGCTTGTTGGCCATTTGTATATCTTCTTTGGAGAAATGCCTATTGAAGTCCTTTGCCTATTTTTAAATTTGGTTGTCTTTTTGTTGAGTTTAAGAATTCCTTTCATATCTATTTTTCTTCTGTTGTTTGTGATTATGGTTCACATCTAAAAAACCATTTGTAAAATCCAAGGTCATGAAGATTTACCTCTATATTTTCTTCCAAGAGTTTTAAAGTTTTAGTTCTTATATTTAGGTATTTGATCTATTTTGAATTAATTTTTGTATATGGCGTGTGGTGACTTCATTCTTTTGCATGTGGCTATCCAGTTTTCCCAGCATTATTTGTTGAAGAGACTATTCTTTTCCCATTGAATGGTCTTGGCACCCTTATCGAAAATTAATTTACTATAGATGTATAGCGTTATTTCTGGACTTGAATTCTATCTTTATGTCACTACCACAGTGTTTTGATTACTGTAGCTTTGTAGTAAGTTTTGAAATTGGAAAGTGTGAATCCTGTAACTGTTTTTTCAAGATTGTTTTTGCTATTTTGGGTCCCTTGCAATTACAGATGAATTTTAAGATCAGCTTGGCCATTTCTGCAAAAATGGCCATTGGGACTTTGATAGGGATTGCACTGAATCTGTAGAAAGCTTTGGTTAGTAGTGCCATCTTAATAATGTGTTCCAATCCATTAACCCAGGATGTCTCTCCATTCAGTTAGGTCTTCTTTAATTTTTCAAGCAATGTTTTGTAGTTTTGAGTGTATAAGTCTTGTACCTCCTTGGTTAAGTTTATTATTCATAAATATTTTATTCTTTTGGATGATATTGTAAATGAAATTTTTTTCTTAATTTTCTTTTCAGATTTTTCACTACTAGTGTATGGAAACACAACAGATTTTTGTGTGTTGACCATGTATCCTACAACTTTACTGAATTCATCTATTAGTTCTAATAGGCTTTTGTGGGTTCTTTAGGATTTTCTATGATAAAATCATATCATTGGTGAAGAGAGACAGTTTTACTTCTTCCTTTCCAATCTGAATGCCTTTTGTTTATTTTTATTTTTTTTTGTAATTTCTCTGGCTATAACTTCCAGTACAGTGTTGAACAGAAGTGGTGAAAGTGGTCATCCTTGTTTGTTTGCCACTTCTCCACTATTTCTTTCATTCATTCTGGACTCCACTTATATATATATGGCTTTCTCTGTATAGCATATGTCTCAATTTCTTTTTCATATGTTTCACCTTCTGTGCTCCATTCTGGGTAATTTCTTCAGATATATGTTCCAGTGACTAAATTCTCTTTGGCTGTGCCCAATTCACTATTAAGTCTTCCTTTGATTTTTAAACTTCAACAATGATGTTTTTTAATTTCTAAAAGTACTGTTTTTTCCAAAACTGCCTAATAATTTGTCATTCATTTTTATGTTTCCAGAGCTCATTGCTTTAAATATTTTGTGCATAATTACTTTATGATATATATCTGATAATGTCAATATCTGGTATTCTTCAGATTCTAAATTTGTGTTGATTGTTTCTGCCCATTTGTAGTCAAGTTGGCTTGTTATCTTGTATGTTTGCTGATCTATGTTTATGATCTTATCATTTTAATATGTAGGAATCCTGGAGACCTAAACTGGGAATGCTTTTTCTCTAGAGAAATCATTCTTCCAGAAGCCAGGAGGTGCTACCTATCTGCAACTAGCTCTGCTACTTTCTGGGTTTCATTACTTAATGCAGAAGTCTCACATTCCATTCTTGCATTTTGCTCAAAGCTTGGTCTCCTGAGAACAACACTAATATAAGCATCTCCCTTTAGGAAAGTTCCTCCATTTTACATTTTCTCATTTTTCACCTCTCTTTGCTCTGATTTAAGCTCATTATTTGAAAATAAAAGCTCATTTTTTTTTGTTTGTTTTGTTTTTTCGCTGTTGGTGCTGAGGAGGCTGGAGAGTCCCCTTTCTTCATTGAGTGTAGCAGTGCATTAAGAAGTATGTACTATAGGGCTTCCCTGGTGGTGCAGTGGTTGAGAGTCCGCCTGCTGATGCAGGGGACGCGGGTTCGTGCCCGGGTCCGGGAAGATCCCACATGCCGCGGAGCGGCTGGGCCCGTGAGCCGTGGCTGCTGAGCCCGCGCGTCTGGAGCCTGTGCTCCACAATGGGAGAGGCCACAACAGTGAGAGGCCCGTGTACTGAAAAAAAAAAAAAAAAAAGTAGTATGTACTATCAGTGCTATAGCCTTTTTAAAATTTTGGTAATATATACATAACATATATTTTAACATTTTAACTGTTTTTAAGCGTACAAGTACGTTTGACAACAAGTACATAACATGTACATTCACAATGTTGTGCAACTATCACCACCAACCATCTCCAAAGCGCTTCATCTTGCAAAACTGAAACTCTGGGGAATTCCCTGGTGCTCCAGTGGTTCGGTCTCTGTGCTCTCACTGCTGAGGACACGGGTTCAATCACTGGTCAGGGAACGAAGATCCCACATCCCACAAGCCATGCAGCGTGGCCAAAACAAAACAAAAAACCAAAAAATAAAAACAAAAACAAAACTGAAACTCTGTCTCCATCAAACAATAACTCTCCATCCTCCCCAGCTCCCAGCCTCTGGTAACCTCTATTCGACTTTCAGTCTCATTGTAATTGTTAATTTTACAATGTCAACTTGTCTAGGCCATACGGTGTCCAGATATTTGGTCAAACATTATTCTGGGTGTGTTGGTGAGGATATTTTTGGATGAGATTAACATTTAAATAGTAGAGTGAGTAGAGCAGATTGCTGTCCCCCGGAAGCGGGTGAGTGCTATGCAATCAGTTGAAGGTCTGAATAGAACAAAAAGGCTGACCCTCATCTGAGTAAGAGAGAATTCTTTTTGCATGGCCCATTTGAATTGGGACATTGGGTTTTTTCCAGCCTTTGGGCTCAAACTCAAATATTGGCACTTCCTGGGTTCAGACAGGAACTACACCACTGGCTCTCCTCGTTTCCAGACCTTCACACTCAGACTGAAACTTATGCCATTGGCTCTCCTGGGTCTCCAGCTTGCTGATTCACCCTGCAGAGCTTGAGACTTGTCAGCCTCCATAATCATGTGAGTCAATTGGTTCTGTTTCTCTGGAGAACGCTGACTAATATATAAGTGGAATTATACAATATTTGTCCTTTTATGTCTGCTCTAATTAATTTAGCCATGCATGTTATAGCATGTATCAGAGATATGCCCTTTTTAAAATGGAAATGTCCTCTAGAACATACATTATCAGTACTCTGGTTCACTAAACTGCCAGAAGCAAAAATGTTTAATCCAGCCTTGAGGGAACAAGGAATTCTTCTTGGAGGAGATGATGTTTTTCTGAGACTTGAAGAATGCACCAGGTGAAAGGGTCAATAAGAAGTACCTAGAAAAACTGTTCTAGGTAGAAGAAACAGTACATATAAAAGCCTAGTGTGAGAAAAAACATGCTGTTTTTAGGGACTTGAGGGTTCCTTAGTATGGGTGGAGCTTAGAAAGCCCAGGAGCAAGTAGCAAGAGACTATGCTAGAGAGGTCGGTAAGGGCCACCATCCTGAATGACACCAACATCTATGAGGATAAGCAGCTTTTGGCTCTACTCTGCTCCTTCCTGGGATGATACATTCTTGCTTGGAGTCACTGTGTCCTCCCAGAATGCCTTTCATAGTGCCCTATTACTATAGATACTCAGTAAAGTTTATCCTGAAAGTCTGGTCATATATCAACCTTGTTATGTTTCTAAATGTCAAGTTCTAAGACAGGCTTTGTGCCTTTCCTGTGAGATTAGCGTACCTTTACTTTGCCATTATGAAGAAACAGAGTCCAATTATGGCCATCTTGACTACTGGATATGAGGAACTCCTTCACATACATGCTGGTAAGCAGAGATTTCACCCCCTGGGTGGTTATTCCTGTGACTCTCACTGTCTTCTGGAAGTCCACTTGCAGCCACTCTTTTTGATTATTTGCCTGGGGAATGCACCAGGTGCATTAGAGTAGTATCTTTTTGGTCACTATTTGCTCCCAGAAATCCCCAAATCCCTTCTTAATCATATCACAGCACTTATCACTCTGCATATTAATTATCTGTTTGTCAGTCTCCCTTATCAGACTCGAAGCAAATTGAGGGCTGAAATTTTTCATGATTCATCTCTGTATCCCCAGGGTTAGCCACTTAATAGGGGCCCAGTAAAGGTTTGCTGAATGAATATATGAGTAATATATAGACTGACTAGAGTATTAAAAGTTTGGCAATGTGTTATACAACCTATTTTGTTTAAAACAAGCCCCTGGAGGAACAGAGACCATTAACTCCATCCATTTCCCCAAGCTAGTCAGTGATTGAAAATCACAAAAACTGAGTGGTTCCAGAAAAGAACTGTGCCCAATGAACTGTACATAACTATGACCCTTTGCTTTGTTGATATTTCTCTGTAAAACTGGATTTCATCCACTCCAATTCTTTGACAAATATTAGCCCAGTACTACATATAGATATTCTGTTTCTAGGAGGTTCAATTAGGGATCATTTTCCCCCAAAGAATGCTGTGTGAATTCACATGGCACACCCACTAAATAAATATCTGTGGGGTTTTCTGTGCATAGTCAACTTTCCTTGACACTCTTTGTGGGAACAAGCAGGTGATAGAAGTAACTGAAGAAACAGTCAAGAGCTTACCCTATCCTTTCCCAGCCACTACTCCTTCTGCATCAGTTATATGGCAAATTTGTTCCCTCTTACCTGGGGTCTCCAGGCATTAGTCCTCCCTTGGAGGTGAAGTCGGGCTTGTGAAGGAGACCAGGTGGCAAACATATTGCTTAAGTGGGATGAGGCAGTAATCTGTGCATCTGATATTGCTTTACTCTCCATTCCCAGTGCCATGTTGCAACCTCAGAGAAATGAAAGGAGAATGTAATCACAAGAACAAGATGCAGCTGAGGTTCTGCTGGCCTGTCTCCACTGATATGTTCTAGGGCTATTGTCATCACGAAGTCATTTTCCAGGCACTAACTTTTGCATGCTATTGTTAAGATGCCCCCTGTTTTCTGGTCAGCTCTGCTCAGCTCTGTTGGACTTTGATTTGCCTTGTTAATAGTAGTGTAGGAGGTGGCTGCCCCTGGGGAATCCCATGGTTAGGAGGAACAAGTCATGGGTTTGCCCAGGACTGTACTGGTTTTAGCATTGATAGTTCTGTGTCCTGGGAAATCCCCCCAGTCTCAGGAAAGCTAGGATGGTTAGCCATCCTACTCATGGTTGGGAGAGGTAAGTACATGGGATGACTTGACACTTACTGTTTAAATCACAGCCCATCAACTCCATGCGAAGAGTGCTGCGGATGCTGTAATGCGTTGGGTGCAAACGGACATACCGAGCAATAATTGGAGGGTTAAAAATATTGTGTTTTATCCCAGATGAATCCACATTGCCAAAGAAGACCTGTAGGGAGGTATTAGCACAGATACATGTAAAATGAAGAAAGAATAAGAAGCAATTCCTCCCAATCATATCTTTCTTCTAATTTGCTCTGTGCATTTCTCAACAGCACCGAACACCCAAATAAAACCATTCTGGCTAGCCAGATGTTAGAATGTAATAATGTGAAGGAGAAAATCACAGGGAGAAGAATGGAACAAGGGAGATTAGGTCTGAGCAGGTTAAGTAGTCTACTTTGGGGTCCTGTAAAACGGTCATTCATCAAAGTTGTGGAAGCCATTTAGGCCTTTGCTAATCCAGTGTGGGCCACAGACCAGCTGCATTAGAATCACCTGGGAGCAATTAGACCTGCAACATCTGGAGCCCTATTCCAGATCTACTGAATCAAACCATACAGTTTGAGAAACACTAGCTTAGGGCAGAGTCGGCTGCAGCTGTGAAAGGGGACTTGGAGTAGGCAGCCTGCCATATGGTCTCAGGATGATCTTCCAATAATGTGTGTGTGTGTGTGTGTGTGTGTGTGCGTGCGTGTGCATGTGCATGTGTGTGCGTGTGCATGTGTGTGTGTGTGCTGTGGGGCGTTAATTAACGATTCCTTGTGTATGAATTCATGAGACACATGTTAATATCCAACTTCTGGGGTTTAGGAACTTGACATGTCTAGGTTCTACAGAAAAGTACATGACATATTTAAGGAATAAGGAACACATTTTGAGAAATATGCTAGTAATTCCAACTCAAAAGGCCTAGATTTAAATCATGATATATAGAAAAAAGAAAGTTGAAAATCCTCTCTCATAAAACACCTGGGATTCTCTATCTGCTTGAATACACTAAAACAGGAATCAATATATGGCTGTTATATAATCAGACATCAGAGTTACAGTATTATGGGGAATTTAAAAAATTGTTCTTCCATGTAACAATTTTTTCTTCCTATGGGATAAAAATGTTAATAAATGTATAGCATTGCCCCAGAAATCACAGCATTTAAAAAATATTTTTATTGGAGTATAGTTGATTTACAATGTTGTGTTAGTTTCTGCTGTACAGCAAAGTGAATCAGTTATACACATACATGTATCCATGCTTTTTTAGATTCTTTACCAACACAGGTCATTACAGAGTATTGAGTAGAGTTCCGTGTGCTATATAGTAGGTCCTTATTAGTTATCTATTTTCTATATAGTAGTGTGTATATGTCTATTCCAATCTCCCAATTTATCCCCCCCCTTACCCCCGTGGTAACCATAAGTTTGTTTTCCACATCTGTGACTCTACTTCTGTTTTGTACATAAGTTCATTTGTACACTTTTTTTTTCAATTTCACATATAAGTGGTATCATGTATTTGTCTTTCTCTGACTTACTTCACTCAGTATGACAATCTGTAGGCACAGCATTATTTTTGATAAATAGGTCTGCTTCATTTTTAACTCAATTATTGTGTCTTGATTAGATACCTTCTTAGGAAGAAATCTGTATTAATTCAACAAATAGTTAATGACTACAGAAATTCTAGATTCCATGTATTATGTGCCAGAAACTATGTGCTAGGTGGCTTCACTGGTGAATTCTAATAAATGTTTAAAGAATTAATGCCAATCCTTTCCCAAACTCTTCCAAAAGATAGAAAAGGAGGGAAAACATCCTAACTCATACTATAGGGCCAGCATTACCTTGATACCAAAGCCAGACATATATACCAGAAGAAAGAAAATTACAGACCAATAGCCTTTATGAATATAGATGCAAAAATCCTCAGAAGAATTCTAGCAAGCTGAATCCAGCAGCATATTATAAATATTACATTCCATGTCCAAATAGGAATTATGCCAGGAATGCAAGGATGGCTCAACATAAGAAAACAGATTAGTCAAAACCACATTGATAAAATGAAGGGGGAAAACACCCTCACGATCATCTTTTAGTTGATGCAGAAAAAGCATTCAACAAAATCTAACAACTTTCTTGATTAAAAAACAAACAAACAAAAAACACCCAGCAAACTAAGAATAGAAGGGAAATTCCTCAACAAAATAAAAGGCTTTTATGAAATACCCTAGCTAATGTCATACTCAATGGTGGAAGACTGGAAGCATTTCCTCTAACATCAGGAACAAGAGAAGAATGCTTGCTTTCAGTGCTTCTACTCAAGACTGTAACGGAAGTCCTAGTCAGAGCAATGAGGCAAGAAAAAGAAATAAAAAGCATCCAAGTTGGAAAGGAAGTTAAACTGCTTCTATTCTCAGATGACCTGCTCTTCTGTACAGGAAACCCTAAAGAATCCACAAAACACTATTAGAGTTAACAAACGAATTCAACCAAGTTGCAGTATACAAGATCAACACACAAAAGTCTGTTGTGTTTCCATATCCTAGCAATGAAAAAATAATCCAAAATGAAATTGACAACAGTTCTATTTCACACAACATCAAAAGGAATAAAACACACAGAGATAAATTTAGCCAAGGAGGTGCAAGGCTTGTGCACCAAAAACTACAAAGCACTGCTGAAAGAAATTAATGATGACCTTAAAAAAAAAGGGGAAACAGCAGATTTTGTGGACTGGAAGACTTAATACTTTTAAGATGGCAATCCCACCCAAAGTTGTCTAGAGATTTAATGAAATCCCTATGGAAATCGCAATGCTCTGTTTTACAGAAATGTAAAAGCCAATCCTAAATGCATACGGAATTTCAAGTGACGTTGAATAGCAAAAATAATCTTGGAAAAGAAGAAAATAGTTGGAGGACTCACACTTCCCTATTTCAAAACTTAGTCCAAAGCTTCAGTTATCAAAACTATGTGGTACTAGCATAAGGATAGACACATAGATCAGTGGAGTCCAGAAATAAACCCACAGATCTATCCCATGGGTTGTAAACCCAATTGAGTTGAAAACAGGTGTTCAAACAGAACCCTGCACAGGAATGTTCACCAGAGCACTATGCCCGACAGGCACAAGGTGGAAGTCACCCAAATGTACATCAGCTGCTGAGCGGATACACAACATGTGTGGTCTAGCCATGCACTGGAATATTATTCAGCCTGCTGAATATTATTCAGCCAGCAATATAATTCATTTGTAAGGAGATATACAGTCGTGATGGTGGCCCAGCACCGCCAGTGTATACTTGGTGCCCCTGGATGGTCCGCCATTAGCTGCCTTCTCTGTACAAAGTTCCCGTCCGGTGGACAGTGAGAGTTCCACCAAAGAGAGGGTCCAGCGAGCACGGCGAGCAGGATCCTGCCAGCGCCATTTCTTTGCAGGCCCAGGACCCCGGCGGAGGGGGTGGGGGCGGGGTGAGGTGGGGTGGGGGAGGGGTTATGGGAAAGCAGTGACCTCACAGGGTGTTCCCCGACCAATGAGGGCCCGGTCTACGGTCGCTAGGATACAGAGGAGGGGCCTGAGAACACCGGTTGTCTTGAGATGTTGGGACCAGCAGGCACAACCGACCGCCCCTCATCCCGCCGCACCGCAGAGCGAGGCCGTCGCAGAAAGCGCGCCCAACGGCCAGCATGCCAGGGAAGAGGGGCCGTCGAGGGTCACCCGGTCGCCGCTCCCGCACCGCCTGAGCCGAGCTGTCCTTCACCGTGAGCCACATGGAGCGCCTCCTGCGGGAGGGCCACTACGCCCAGCGCCTGAGCTCGTCCGCACCCGTCTACCTAGTGGCCATCGTCCAGTACCTGACGGCCAGGGTCCTGGAGCTGGCGCGCCATGAGGCCCAGAACAGCGGCAGGAGGCGCCTCACTCCGGAGCTGGTGGACTTGGCGGCCCGCAGCAACGCGCTGCTCAGCGACTTGTTCAGGACTATCGCACTATCTATCTCCCAGGTGGCCCCGGCCCAGCCCTAGCTGCCCAACGACACCTGGGTCCCCGGCCCCCGGGGGGCGGGGTGGGGGTCGCGGCGGTCAGGCGCCAGGCCCGCTCACCGACCGACCGCACAGCCCGGGCGGCCCCGGCCTGCCCACCACCTTGGGCACAGTCACTGCGAGTCAATAAAGTGTTTCAGGAGACCCCCTGTGCGTGCTTCACTCACTTGGCGTGGGAGGTGGTGGTGGTGGGACACCCCTCGTCGGAGGGATGGGGGCGGGGGTCTGGCCGGAGTTGGGGGGTGGGGGGCGTGGAGTCGGGGGTCACAGACAGAGAGGAGCGGTCTCTCACGGTGACAGTGCATGGGGTGGCCCTGGGTGGGAGACGCTGGCTGCGGCTGGGGTGGGGTCGGACTTGGGCCTGGGGTGAGGCCAGACAACGGAAGGCTCCCCCGCTGGCTCTGAGCAAGTCGGAGCCAGGCCAAAGTCCCCAGAGGGACGGGGCTCCGTGCGGCGACGCTCGACACCGTGAGGGCGGCGTCGTGATACAGTGAAGGTGCCAAGGCGACCGACCGCCCTGGGTTGGGGAGACAGGGGTAGGTGGACAGAGCGCTTGGCATGGACTCCCATGGGGGCAGGGGCTTTGAAGGGAAGATTGAGGCGTGATCGGGATTGGGGTGGGTGGGACACAATCAACACATAGGCAAAGTCGGAATTAGGGTCACGTGGGGTCAAGAGTTTTTGGTTGTGTTTCCCTAGAGATGCCAAGAGATGCCCTGCTTGGCAACCTGTGTAAACAAGCTGTCACCTACCGGTTGGAGCCCTGGTCTGGGAAGATCCCACATGCCGCGGAGCAAGGAAGTCCGTGCGCCACAACTACTGAGCCTGTGCTCTAGAGCCCGAGAGCCACAACTACTGAGCCCGTGTGCCACAACTACTGACGCCCGCGCGCCTAGAAGCCATGCTCCACTGCAATGAGAAGCCCACGCACTGCAAGGAAGAGTAGCCCCTGCTTGCCGCAACTTGAGAAAGCCCCTGCACAGCAACTAAGACCCAAAGCAGCCAAAAATAAATAAATTAAATAAATAAATTTTTTAAAAAAGCTGTCACCTAGCAACAGGGGGCGCCCAGTCAGGCCCCGCCCCAGCACTGTTGGTCTGCTCACAGAACCCCGGACGGCGGGCCAGGCCCCGCCCCAGGGCCCCCGATTTGCATACGCCACCCGCAGCCAGTCCCGGCCGGGCCTCCGTGCTTGCTATTTTGCATATCACCAGGGCGACGAGAGCCGGCGCGGTCGCTTGGTGGGCCGGAGCCCGACGCAGGGCACGTCTCAGCCCGCCGCCGTCGCCCAGCACGTGCGCCCACTTGCGTCAGCGCGCCCGGAAGTGCCTAAGCGGCGATCATGGCGGCTTCCGCGGCCGGCCTGGGCGGCGGTGTGGGCCCCGGGCCTGAGGCCGGGGATTTCCTGGCGCGCTACCGCCAGGTGTGCAACAAGCTGAAGAAGCGGTTCCTGCGGAAGCCGAATGTGGCGGAGGCCGGCGAGCAGTTCGGCCAGCTGGGGCGCGAGCTGCGCGCACAGGAGTGCCTGCCGTACGCGGCCTGGTGCCAGCTGGCCGTGGCCCGCTGCCAGCAGGCGCTCTTCCACGGGCCCGGGGAGGCGCTGGCGCTGACCGAGGCCGCGCGCCTCTTCCTGCGGCAGGAACGCGACGCGCGCCAGCGCTTGGCCTGCCCCGCCGCCTACGGGGAGCCGCTGCAGGCCGCTGCCGCCGCCCTGGGCGCCGCCGTGCGCCTGCACCTGGAGCTAGGCCAGCCGGCTGCCGCCGCTGCGCTCTGCCTCGAGCTGGCGGCCGCCCTGCGCGACCTGGGCCAGCCGGCCGCCGCCGCCGGCCACTTCCAACGCGCCGCGCAGCTGCAGCTGCCCCAGCTGCCCCTGGCCGCCCTGCAGGCGCTCGGCGACGCCGCGTCCTGCCAGCTGCTGGCGCGCGACTACAGCGGCGCCCTGGCGCTCTTTACGCGCATGCAGCACCTGGCGCGGGAGCACGGCGGCCACCCGGTGCCGCCGCCGGGGCCGCAGCCCCCGCCGCAGCTGCAGCCCAAGCCGCCGGCGCCGCAGCCCGGGGCCGGCGCGGCCTCCGCCCCACCGTTCGCGCTGCTCCCGCCCGGCGCGGTGTCCGCGGCCGCGCCCTCCCCCGCCGCGCTGGGCGCCTTCGCCGACGTGCTGGTCCGCTGCGAGGTGTCCCGCGTGCTGCTGCTGCTGCTGCTGCAGCCGCCGCCCGCCAAGCTCCTGCCGGAGCACGCGCACACCCTGGAGAAGTACTCCTGGGAGGCCTTCGACGGCCACGGGCAGGACAGCAGCGGCCCGCTTCCCGAGGAGCTCTTCCTGCTGCTGCAGTCCTTGGTCATGGCCACCCACGAGAAGGACACGGAAGCCGTCAAGTCGCTGCAGGTGGAGCTGTGGCCCCTGTTGAGCGCCGAGCAGAACCACCTCCTGCACCTCGTTCTGCAGGAAACCATCTCCCCGTCGGGCCAGGGCATCTGACGAGTCCCTCCCAGCGACTCTGTGCCTGTCCCCGAGCCTCACGCACCCGCCTGCGCGTTTACGGGGACACAGGAGGCGTTGACCCGGCGCTTCTGCCTTTGCAGTGTATCTTACCCCTGTTGCCACCAGAGGAATGTGGTTGACTACAAGTTACGTTGTTTCCACAATAGCGGCAGAAGAAAAACCATATGGTAGAATCGGAGTAGAGTCTCCGATTCTCTTCCCCAGAAACTGCAACAGAACCATGGGAGTCCCTTCCGCCCCCTTTCCTCTTCTGTTTTCACCCAACTGTCCCCACCCACCCCTCTTCCCCCGGCAAGGCTCCCCTCCCCCCGCGTCCTTCTTTCCGACTGAGGATTAATTTGCACAGCTCTGGCTCGCTACTTAAGCTGCATGATTTTTTCACGGTGACTCTGATTGCTTAGCGTATTTCAATGTCCGCCTGCATGATCGCCCAGTTCCCCCTGTGTTTCATGCGCCCCGTACGTGTTCGTGGGAATCATTGGATTCAGTACTACGCTGTTGTCGCTACAGCCCTCAGTCCATGATAAAGCCATTCTGACCCTCCTAGCTTGTGGTTCGTATTTACCTTATCTGTAAAGTGGGAATAACTTATCTACCTGGCAGGAGGTGGCAAGCAGAAGCAGACAGCTCCCTTTTAGCTCCAAGATGGATTCGTTCATTCGAAATGCACAGTGTGCCTGTGAATCTACAGAGATCATTTGCGATGTGGTCCTTTCTCAGCTGCGGTGCGAATGTGTTCGGTGCAGAGCGGGGTGGGAGTGGGGGTGCGGGTGAGGGTGAGGGCGGGGTGGGCTCCAGAGCAGAGGTGTCAGGTGTGCATTGGAGTTTTCGGTTCTGGCTCCATTTCGAGACGTACGGGTAATCCACGTGGCAGCTTTTATTTGTAGTGCGGTTCCTTCTACAAAGTTAACTCAAATATAAAATCAGCATATGCTGCTTTGGTATTGTGTGATCGTGTGTATGCCAGACTGTGCCCTTCTTCCCCCAAAGCAGGATGGCGTTCCGTTTTTAAACACTAAATTTCCAAGGCTTTTTGGTCCAAACGTTGCATGCAAACCGACTTAGCTGTTTTCTCAAATTCAATTTTATTTCCTTTAGTGTTGAGAGTGATGGTAGGAACTCTTGAGAATATAATCTCATTCATTCGGCTCGGGAAAACGCATCCTTTGGGCTGAAGTGGACAGCACTAATCGTTTGAGGTGAGACTTAAGGACACAGCTCGGGAACAGATCTTGGTTTTGTGTATTTGCGGGGGGAGGGGGAATATGTGGAGTGTTGTCACTATGAGTTAAGTGTCCCAAAGTGGATGGGGCTTTTAGGGTATTCCTTTCTACTTCTATTTCAGCAGTGTGGAAGCGTTGGCTAAGGAAATGTAGGGGAGGCCCATAGGAGACAGATTCAGCCACCCTTCCTGTGCTCTCACTTGGCTGCCAGGAAGGGTCTTTCCGAGCCCTAAAAGCCTAGTCCAGCTTGTTGCCAAAGTGGTAAGGGTGCGTGGTCCCTTGTGCTCTTGCTTTTGCTGGTACACTCTTGTCAGCCTGGGCTGCAGCTCTGGCCTCCTTCCTTATTGTCCTTATGACAAGAACGCTTAGGAATTATGGACCGTGACTGGTGACAACATTTGGGTTTGGGCGCGAGGAGAAGCCTCCTTAGACCTCTGGTCTAAACTCCTTGCTTTGAGGAGGTGGGGGGAGGGATTACCAGAGAGCCTGGTATTGGGTATACAAACATAACTATAGAAAACGCTAAAGATTTTTTTCCATTTGCCATTGGTTCATTTATGTATCTCCCTCAGAAACTTCATAGCACGGAGAGCTGGGCCAAGGCCAGATTTCAGTGATTTTGACAGAAATCTCTTGCTATGTATCAACTTATGTTGACAGGACATGATTAGTGTTCTTTTTAACTTGAAAACCAGAGGGAAAGATCTGCATCTTTGAAATGTTCATTGACAATTCAAAACTAACATTCAACATATTATGAAATATTGAAAATAGTGGCAGTGAAGCAGTGATCCTGAAAGGATGCTTGGGCTCCCCTTTATAAGGGACTTCTATGATGAGAAATGTTGCTTATGAAAAAATATTTTGTATGTAAATGGTACAAAGATATTAAGTCATTTGAGAACCACTATACTGGAGGAAGACGACTAAGACTGAAATTTGTAAATTGGGCAGTAAGCTCTGGGATAGAAGGGTTCTGGTTAATGTGAACTGTCTAGGCATCTCTACTGCCATTAGACTAGACCACCAGTCCACAAACACTTTCTGTAAAGGAGGAGAGAGAAATATTTCAGTCTTTTCACACCACATAATCTTCCTTGTCTGTTTGTTTTTGAAACTTTAAACACGTAAAAACCATTCTTAACTCACAATCCATATGCAAAAGCAGGTTGTACTCCAAGTCCATGGGCGCTAGCTTGTGCAGCCCTTCACTAGGACCGAGAACATAGTAGTTACTCAATAACTGTTCAAGGAACGACCCTCGTGAGTGTAGTTAATAACTATTTTATCTTTGTCACTGAACAAGAAAGGTTGAAAATAAATAAACTAGTCGACTAATTTAACTCCAGATTCTAAGAAACAAGAAGATAAATGAAAGTGAATTTTTAAAATTTTAAACAGAAATTAATTAATTAGAAAACAACACCTTCAAATCTATGTTTGATTTTAAGACCAAGAGTTGATTCTTTTAAAACCCAATAGAATAGATAAACACCAACTCTGATAAAGGGGGAAAAAGAGAGATACATGTGTGCATGTAGGTAAAGACATATGGCATGGGAAGGGAGATAGAACTTTAATGTACACATTTATAGCAATTAACTATAGGTAACAGAAAATGAGAATGCCAGTAATCAGATAAGGAACGGAAAAGATAGTTCAAGTATCTACCACTAAACGAGGCACAGTGGCTTTTCCATCCAATTTTCATTAAACAGATGATTACTACATTAATTAAACTATTCTAGAGCAATAGTTTAATAGAAAAAAGATGGAAGCTTTTACAGTGTTTTCAAGGTTAGTATAACTCTAATGCCAAAGCCTGATAAATACAGCCCCCCAAAGTGGTAAAACAACTTTATTGATTGGTACAGATAGAAAAATTCTAAACAAAATGTTAGCAAATTGGATCCAGCTAAACTTTAAATGACTGATACACTATGACTTAAGGGCAGTTTTCCCAGGAATGCAGCACCACGTTGTGCTGGAGCCCCAGCTAGGGCTGGCTTGTGAGAGCCAATTGTGGGCGTCTGCTCCCAACTCTGCATTCAGTGACACTGTGTCAGCAGCTTGAAATCAGGTGTGATGGGAATATTTGCATCATGGAAATCAGCAAACACTACAAATAAAGGCCTTTGTGCTGACTGCCCCCCACTTTGCCCCAGAGCTGGTTGTTAAACATTTGCCAGCCCACCATTGAGTATGAGTATAATCTGACAATAGCAAAGAGAAGAAATGTGATCCTATCCAAGATGCTGAGAAAGCATTTGATGAAATTCTACAACCATTCCAAATAAGGTAGGAGTAGCAAGAAACTTTAAATATAAAAATATTTGAAACTAACAGCATGTTAAACAGCAAAATATGGGATCCATTCCCATTAATGTCAGAAGCAAGATCTGTTAATATTTAATAAACATATGCTAATATATCTATATCTATACATATATATCACACTGAAAACAAAAGAAGAGCAAAGAGCATTTTGGTCACCATCCAAGTCTACAAAGACTAATCTGCTGCAGCCGCTGATGGACAGTGCACTTGGTGTTCAGAGGAAGAGATGAATGGGATAACAGGATGAGGCACTCTGTGCTTTAGACAGGAAATTAAAGATGATAACAGGATGCTCTGTGCTCTGGATGAACAGGCCGTTAGGTAGTTAATATGCATTTCAGGAAGAATTTTAATGAACCCTGCTTCTTGCATCTTCCCATACATAGAAAAACACTATAATCATGAACTTGAGGTATCTGTTCTTTGTGAATAGTAGTAATATTTTACCAAGGTTTATGCTTGACTGCATGTATTCCTTAACAAAAAAATCATATGTAAACTAGCCTCCCCCCAACCCCTTTGGAGCAGTTCCTCAGAGCTATCTGAGAGGCTGCCTCCCAGGCTATAGTCATCAGTAAGACCCTGAATAAAGCTTGATTCACAACTCTCACGTTGTGTATTTTTCTTTTAGTTGACAACACAATATATAATATTTATGTGTTTGTATATGTGTCTGTGTGTGCGTGTATTAATCACAAAGGCATTTAGAGTGATTACTATTTCCTGTTTACCAGGTCCTGTCAGCATAATGTCATCCATGTAATGGACCAATATGGTGTTCTGTGGGATGTCAAGATGTTTGGGGTCCCTAGGGTCTATATTATGATAAGGAACAAGGGAAGTGGCATTGCCTTGAGGCATGGATAGTAAAGTTAATACTGTTGTTCCTACTTCATAAATGCAAATCTATTCTGATTTTGGTTGTCAGTGGAAATAAAGAAGAAAGCATTTTCCAGGTCTGTAGTTCTATATTAGGTGCTTGAGGTTGTGTTAATGTGCTCCAGAGGAGATACTACACCTGGAATTGCAGGGTTTTTGTCATCACCACCTGATTAAATTTGTGATGATCTGTCATTTTTCCATGACTCGTCTGGCTTTTGTAGTGGCCAAACAAGGGCCCTAAGGAGACACAGCCACTGGCTCGGGAAGCAACTGTTCAAGGTGTACTCACTGAGAGACTTGTATGCAGAGCATGGATGACTGCTTCAGAGACTGGGGAAGGGTTGCCTCTTCAGGCAAAGGAGGTTCAGGGCAATTTGGAGGTTTGCAGTTCTCAGCCTCATGCATGTCTGCCTACATGTACCCATCCTGGGACTTCCCTGGTGGTTTAGTGGTTAAGACTCCAGGCTTCCACTACAGGAGGCACGGGTTGGATCCCTGGTCAGGGAGCTAACATCCTGCATGCTGTGCGGCACAGCCAATTAAAAAAATATGTGCCCATCCCTGGTCTCAGAGTTCCATTCCTTTCCACCAGTACCCTTACCTTAGCATAATAGGCCTGGTGGGACTGACCATTTAATTGTCACTGTGACTCTGCAATTCACATGCTCAGCTACTAGATTTGGTATTAAGTCCAAGTGTCTGCCTATAACCACAGGACATGGAAGGCTCCTCCAGAGCTCCATGGATGCATCCTGATTCTCTATGTATGTTCATGGGTGTTCTTTGCATATATTCACAACATTTAATTTCTTTTTTCCCTATGTATGCCGTAAAAGGAAGGGCCATAAAAAGAAGACAGGTCACTCTACAATCAGGTATGCTAAACTTGTGGCCATAACAACTAAATGCCACTGTCAATTTAATCTCCCAATGTCTTCCTCACCATCTGTAGCTCATCCCATTGTATGACTCTAATCTGAGAAATTGTGATGCCACCGCATGTCATAGGTTACTCAGCATCCAGTCTTCTCCCCAAGCAAGGAATTATACCTGTGTTCCTTGAATATATTAGCAACGTAATCCTAGAATTCCATTTTGAATGTCTGTTTCCTGGGGCTACTTTTGGCACCAATTACTGTACGAGGCAGGGTTCCAGCAAGAAACATGGAACACTAAAATTCGTATAATTTGAGGAAAGGTTAATAAAGGTACTAGTTAAGAAGGCGGGGGCAGGGTGCTGCCATCCCTAGGCCTGGAAGGCTGAGGAGAAGATTAGGTAGACAAAATGAGCAGAAATTCTGTGCATTTTCCTCCCACTGAGAAGTGGGGTCTAGGTCCCTTCCCCTTGAACGTGGGTGGATGTGTGACCTGCTTATAACCAACAGAATGTATTGGAAGTGACACTACATGACTTAAAAGACTAAATTAGAAAAGGTGACGTCATCTCCACCTTGCTGGCTGGGCCAGTCATGCTGGAGCCCCTAAGAGGCCTTGAGACAGTCATGCTGGGAGAAGCTACTTCAGTCAACAGCCCCAGAGGCCACTCAACACCAACCACCAGACGTACAAGCAGAGATGCGTCCAAATGATTCCACCCCCAGCTGCCACGTCTTCCCAGCTGAGGCCCCAGCCATTATGGAGCAGAGAGACAGGCCATCCCTGCTGTGCCCTGTCCAAAGTCCTGACCCACAGAATCCAAGAACAAAACGAAATGGGCTTTTCTTATGACGCTAAGTTTTGGGGTCATCGGCAACTCAGCGATAGTAACTGGGACACATAGAGAAAACCACTTTGAGGGGAGCAGTGACCTTCAGTGGAGAGTTACAGCCAAGGGAAGAAATACCCTGACATTCCACACATGCCAGGCTCACAGAAGAAGAGGTGCGGTAGCAAAGCAGGAAAACGGATCTGAAGGGGCAAACGGAAGTCATCTTGCATGGGGCCAATGCAAGGGAGACACTGAAAGGTTTAGACAGGGGACTGATAGTATGATCCCCAAAATGATGTGCAGCTTTTATTAGAGAAGAGACTAGAAGCAGAAGAAGACTAGTTAGGAATGTAACATAATACGTCAAGTGTGAGGTGATGGGGCCTCGGGCTGTAGTAACAACTGTATAAATGAAACAGAGGAGATGGGAGAGGTGTTACCAAGGAAGAGTTGGCTGGATGTGTGGCTGTTCATCAGGGGGTGCAAGAATGAGGGAAAAGTAGATGATGAAGCTACGGTTTTGAGCCCGTTTGCCCTTTTGTCACTTCAAACCTAGAATATCCATAAGCAGACTGACAATCTTATCAATCTACCCAGTCAGGAATCATATGTTTCTCTCAATAGAGCACCTGTTCATTTCTATTACCTATGAGATCCTTGATGCTACCACTTTTTTGTCCATATGTCCATAATCACTCCTATTGCCCATGAGTGGAAAATTCTTTTTTGGGGGGTTAAATTTGTAGAAGCTATGAGTGTTTGTTCCATACCTGAAATCTGTCAAAAGCTCTTTAAAAGATTCATGCATTCTCTTGAAAGGACTAATTACATACCATTAAGGTCCCAGTGGAATTCCCTCGATAACTCCGCCACTGCTTTCCATCAAGGCTATACATGATGATAAATTGAGAGATGTAGAGGCTGGACAACTTCTGACGGGCACCCTGGGTCATGATGCTGTGAATAATCATTGGTGCCAACAGATCCACCTACAGATGAAAACAACCCTTTATTTTAAATGTATGTACCACCTTCTGAAATCATTTATCAGCTTAAGAGGAATCTACATGGATACAGATACACCCAGTATTACCTTGGAGGTGCAGGTGAAGCAGAGACCAATGCTGAAATGTGGATGCGTGTGAAGCTGTGGAATAAATGATGGGAACGTGTAGGAAATGTGCTCATTGAGTTCCCAGACTACTTCCTGACAAAGGAAATCACTTCCACATCATTGAGCTCCAATTTCCTCTGCACACATCCTTTGTGCTGCACAAATTTAGTGTGGCTTCTCTGTTTCCATTTCACTTTATATATTATTTCATTATAGTAAATTATTGCACCACATTGTAAAGTTTTCATGCTTTTTGCCTTCCTTGTTAGACTGAGATCCTTAATGCAGTAAACTAAGTCACCTAAGTCTGAGTCACCTAACCTCTCTATGTCTCAATTTCTTTATCTGTAAAGTGGAGGGAATGATGGCATTTGTAGCAAAAGGTTACCAGAGGATTAAAGAGTTAATACATGTGCTGAGCTCACTGCGGGCACATACGGAACAGTTACTACCTGTTAGCTTTTATATTCTCTCTAGCCCCAGCACCTAACGTAGCATCTGACATAATACTGATGCTTAGCACATGTTTTGGAATGAATGAGTGAATAACAGTGGGTCTTAAAGAGGCGGGCATGGGTCATGCAAGCATTACAAGGCAGTAGCTATTACAGGAATTTTGACATCTGTTACTGCCCTAACAAGCCAGTCAAAGTTAACTTCTCCCAGATGCCTGGCACTCAGATTGGACTGGTCATGACTCTTGTGCTTAATGACTATCTTTTTCAGTTGACTGTAAGCTCCATCTATACATACACTCATTCATTCAAAGAATATATTTTTAGCATTTGTTATGTGCCAAGCCCTGTTCTAGGTACTGGGAATAGAGTCGTGAACAATTAAAAAAAGAGTCCTGCCCTCATGGAACTTTAATTTGAGTTGGGGAAACAGACTATATATTATATATATGTTTTATTTGTTTACAGCTATACAAAGAAACAGTACAACAGTTCAACATAAGTCATGATTTTGTACCCAGTACTTTCAGTTGCTTATGCCACTTATTGGCTGTGTGACATGGGACAAGTTATTTAACTTTTCTGTGCTTCACCTTCCTTATCTGAAATGAAGGTTGTCGTGGTAGGGATTTAGTCGCTTGATTTGTTTTCAGTACACAGTAAGGAAGCCCTGTATACTTTAATATTTTGATCATGATTTTGATAAAGTATAAAAAGGTTTACTGATCAAGTCAGTAAACTGTATGAAACTGGGAAGACTAGAGAATACTTTGGGAGACAGAGCTTGGCAAGCTGGAACAATGGCCAAATCTAAGAAGCGGAAATTCAATAGGCTGTATCACTCAGGGTTCTTTGGCTATGCTTGGAAAAGGTGCTCTGTTTACTAGTCTCATCAGACTGTATCCAGTGAGGCAGATAGATTTCCCCAAATAGAAATGAGGATGCTATTACAAAAAGGAAATACATAGAACAGATGCAGGGCAGCCAAATAGATTAAAATGTCCACTATGCGGTGATACATATAAAGTTGAAAGTGATAACCACAGAAATACAAGGTGAGAACATCTGGTTTGGCAGCTTCACAAACAAAAAAAATACTTAGGAATTAGCGAACAGTCAGCTCAAATGGAGTCATAATTGGCAGTGCCTACAGAACAAAAAAAATGAGCTGATGTGGCATTAACAGATGTACTCTTTGTGTCTGCTTGCTGGTAAGCTAGCTCATCTTTTCCTGATCCCTATTTATTATTTTATTTTATTTTTTAAAATTAATTAATTATTTTATCTTTGGCTGCGTTGGGTCTTTGTTGCTGCGCGCGGGCTTTCTCTAGTTGCGGCGAGCGGGGGCTACTCTTCGTTGCGCTGCGCAGGCTTCTCATTGTGGTGGGTTCTTGCTGCGGAGCACGGGCTCTAGGCGCGTGGGCTTCAGTAGTTGTGGCACGTGGGCTCATTAGGTGTGGCTCGCAGGCTCTAGCACGAAGGCTCAGTAGTTGTGGCACACTGGCTTAGCTGCTCCGCGGCATGTGGGATCTTCCCGGACCAGGGCTCAAACCTGTGTCCCCTTCATTGGCAGGCGGATTCTTAACCACAGCGCCACCAGGGAAGTCCCCTATTTATCATTTTAACCTCAGGGAAAATAGGAGAGCAGATGCAATCTTGCAAAGGAGTAAAGTATGTAGGGGAATTTCCTCAGCTGACTGAGAAAAAGATGAAAGCTGACGACGGACTAGAAGAGGATGCAGGTGGGGGAAGTAGGTGGTAAAACGTGTGTAAATTAGTCCTGACTGACCACATGTTGACATGAAAATATTTTTGGATATTTCGGGTTAAAGAAAATGTATTATTATTATTGTTATTTTTTTGGCTGTGCTGTGTAGCTTGCAGGATCTTAGTTCCCCGACCAGGGATTGAACTCAGGCCCTCAGCACTGAAAGCACAGAGTCCTAACCACTGGACCACCAGGGAGTTCCCAAGAAAATGTATTATTAAAATGATTTTCATTTTAATGAAAATCATTAAAATTTTAATGATGCTCCTTTTTTTAATGCAGCTACTAGAAAATGTAAAATTACATGTGTGGTTTGCATTTGTGGGTCACATTACATTTCTATTGGACAGCACTGCTCCAGAGGAAATGGGGAAGTGAGAAAATATGAAAGACTGGGTCATTTAAAAAGAACTTGAGTTAATATAGGACACTTTCAGTTATGGCTCCAAGTTGGTTTATCAGATTGGACTAACTTCAGTAGGTGTTTCTTACTACTGGGTGGTGTAGAAATTGTGAAGAAGACAGATTCAGTTTTAGAAAATGAAGAAGCCACATTTTCTTGGCTTGTGGGATGGGGGATTGAGCCATTTGTTTTTGTATTAAAATGAAGGGACTGGAGGACTCAAGGACATCTAGGCAGTTGAAGGCATCTAAAGATAGAATACAGTCTTGGGAGGTGGTAAGTTCAATGTTATAGAAAATATTCAGAGATTCTAATCCCAACAGAAAGATTAAAAACACAGTGTACCCAATTCTATTCCTGAGTCTTTCATTCCTGACTCTTTTGGTACAAATCATAAGCCACTCTATTCTTCAGTTCTTTCCTCATCTATTACATGGAGTTTGATGAAAATGACTTTGGTATAAAGGAGATATAAAACTATAAAATGCTTTGAGCTTGCAAGAGGAATGTGTGATGTGATGGAATGTGATGTATTTTCTAACCTTGATCCAGGAAAAGGGGTCCTTGGTGCTCCAGGCATTGATTGATCCAGAATAATGAAGTCTGGCCAGCTTTGGGGCCCACTGTCCTTTGCCCAAGAAAGGGGAGAGAGATTAGATTCAGCTGGGTTGGTCCTAGTCACCTAGGAATAAAATTACTCTCTTGAGAAAGGTTAATGCTAGCTGTGGAGACGTTAAAGGCATAAAGCATATTAGTATCAATGACTACCAATGTGGCCTGTGGGCTGTAGATTGAGAACTCTCATCAATGACTACTACCAGGCCTGTCCTTGTTGTCCACTGTATTTTCTAAAATTTAATAATTTTGTTGATTGTTAGTACCTCTAGTTAGCTAATACTGGAATGTGTTACCATCACTATCAAATAATATTATTATTTCTTTATTACCTAATGTATGTTCACTGGAGAAAAATTAGAAAATAAAATATAAAAATAAAACATAAGTAAAAATAAAAATAAAAGAAGTAAAAAGCACCATACTTCCGCCCAGAGAAAAATAATACTATTTTAGTATATAACTTTCAAGCCTCTTTTTCTTTTTTTTCTTTCCTTTTTTCTCTTTTTTTGCGGTACGCAGGCCTCTCACTGTTGCGGCCTCTCCCGTTGTGGAGCACAGGCTCCGGACGCGCAGGCTCAGCGGCCATGGCTCATGGGCCCAGCTGCTCGGCAGCATGTGGGATCCTCCCGGACCGGGGCACGAACCCACGTCCCCTGCATCGGCAGGCGGACTCTCAACCACTGCGCCACCAGGGAAGCCCTCTTTTTCTTTTTCTTTTTCTTTTTTTCTTTCTTTTTTTTCAAAGTGGCCTTACAATTTGGTAATTCCTCCAGCAATTTGTTTGTTTGTTTTTCAGGCCTCTTTTTCAAATGCAATTTTTTCCCTCTAAAACAGAGTTTGGCCAACATTTTTCTGTAAATAATTTAACCTTTGCAGATCATCTGGTCTTGTTGCAATTACTTAAATGCTGTTGTAGAGCAAAAGCGGCCATAGATGATTGTAAATGAAAGGGTGTGGCTTCTTTATGGACAGTGAAATTAGAATTTCATACAATTTTCACATGTCATGAAATATTATTCTTCTTTTGTTTTTTCCCCCAATCATTTAAGAATAGAAAAGTGATTATTAGCTTGAAGGCCATACAAAATCAAGTGACGGGCTGGATGTGGCCTGCGGGCTGTAGTTTGAGAACTCTCTCTAGATCCAGTTCAAGCTTTCTATCACTGCTCACAGAAAAATGTAGCTTCTTGCTACAGTGAAGAGAATGGACTCAAGGGAAGCCATATGGAAGGCAGGCAGGACATTTAAAGAGGCAGTGGCATTACTCAAGTGAGAAGTGATGATGGCCTGAATTAAGATGCTCACACTGGGAAATGGAGAAGAGAAAATAGATTTGAAAGGCACCTATGGAGACGGATTGGTTATCTGAATCTTTCCAATAGAAATAAAAAAGATATAATCAGCACAGTGCTTTAAGAGAAAGGAATAGTATTTACCATATTGTCCTGAAGCTGTAATCTGAAAATCTCTAATGCGTCCAGAAGCCATTCCCAGTGGAGTCTGACATTCTGAAATCACATGAAGGGAGCACAATAGTTAGAAGTGCAGAAAATATAGCTTCACAAATGCAAGTCAATGAGAACACCAACAAATGCTCATATTTTTTAGTGTTTACTATGTGCCAAGAACTGTACTAAATATTTTATTGTACTATATCATTTAATTCACTCCAACAGGTAGGTGCTACTGCTACTCACATTGTGCAGCTGAGGAAACTAGGGTCAATACGTAAGTAGACCAGTGGTTCTCTTACTTGTTTAGGGTGAAAACTCAAATTCTTCCAAGTGATATTTGTAAGTTATCTTTGGTAACTGAACCAAAACTAAGTTTCAAAATTTGCTCTTGGAGCTTCAGGGTCAAAGTGTTCAAAGCTTCAAGCATATCTGCCCTCCTCTGAGGACTCTGATGATTTCTACCAGCAATATTCATTTTAGATTTGGAAATGACTGTGAGCTTGTATTCACTTCCTGACAAAAGCAACCGCCCTAGGAAGGGGGAAAGAGGTATAGAGGTAGGTGCCACTCACTCTTGCTGTACACCAGGAAGAGAGTGCTCATCCCAGCTTGCAGGTGTTCGCCAATAAGACATTCTATCCGCCAAATTCCAACTTTGGATGGTAGCATTTCCACTGTCTCAAAAACACCTTATCAAAACCAAAAGGAACAAAAATTATTTCTTTTCACACAAATGGGCATAAGATACACTGGCTTATGCAGAATATCAAAGGAGATCTACCCAAGTCAGTTGTACCATTCTTGGACCCCTCAAACCCAGAGTGCTTGGCATGTGACCCCTACAGCTGAAGACCCTGGAAATTGAGTACTGGCCCCAGGAAATGGGAGAGATTGGGTGATGGGATGCTTTGGTGGTGGAGACAGGAGAAAGATTGGCCTGCACTCTCAGTGCTTTTCGAAGCCAGAGGTGTATTTCTCATTGACGAGATGTGGGCTCCCTGCCTTGAGGGGTAAAGTAACTCCAGGAGCAAGAAGCTAGAGGGTGAATGCTGAGGGGCTGAGGAATCAGTCACAGTGACCACCCAGAATAAAGGTGGAAACAACCAGGTCAAGGGGATTTCATGAGAGATGGTCCCAAAAGGGAGTCTCTGAAGAGCCCCTGAAAGTACCTCACCAAAAGAAGTCAGATTGAAATATCTGCCCGGTTCAGACAGTGGTGCCATCCCTCACCTCTACCCTTGCCACGCTGCGGTTCAGATCAGCAACGAGCCAGGAGTGGAGGGGGAAGCATAGGTAGAGAAACAGAAAACGCAACCAACTTGGAGGAGGAGATATTGAACTTAAATCAAGTTCAGAATTTTGATTAATATCTTGGAGTAGACATTGTAATTTGTGACCTGAACTGTATTTGTGATGTAAAGTGACTGCAGGACTGTTTATTACTTAAGAGTGAGCAGAGTATGGTAGGAGGAGCTTCAAGACGGCAGAGGAGTAAGACGTGGAGATCTCCTTCCCCCCCAACAAATACATCAGAAATACAACTACATGTGGAACAACTCCTACAGAACACCTACTGAATGCTGGCAGAAGACCTCAGACCTCCCAAAAGGCAAGAAACTCCCCACGTACCTGGGTAGGGCAAAAGAAAAAAGAAAAAACAGAGACAAAAGAATAGGGACGGGACCTGCACCAGTGGGAGGGAGCTGTGAAGGATGAAAGGTTTCCACACACTAGGAGCCCCTTCACGGGCGGAAACTGCAGGTGGCGGAGGGGGACGCTTCGGAGCCGCAGAGGAGGGCGCAGCAACAAGGGTGCGGAGGGCAAAGCGGAGAGATTCCCGCACAGAGGATCGGCGCCGACCGGCGCTCACCAGCCCGAGAGGCTTGTCCGCTCCCCCGCCGGGGCGGGGGGGCTGGGAGCTGAGGCTCAGGCTTTGGTTGGACTGCAGGGAGAGGACTGGGGATGGCGGTGTGAACACAGCCTGAAGGGGTTAGTGTACCACGGCTAGTGCGGCTAGTGCACCACAGGCTCGCCCCGCATCGTACCCCTTCCTCCCCCCACTGCCTGAGTGAGCCAGAGCCCCCTAATCAGCTGCTCCTTTAACCCCATCCTGTCTGGGTGGGGAAGAGACGCCCCCAGGAGACCTACACGCAGAGGCGGGGCCAAATCCAAAGCTGAGCCCCTGGGAGCTGTGAGAACAAAGAAGAGAAAGGGAAATCCCTCCCAGCAGCCTCAGAAGTAGCGGATTAAAGCTCCACAATCAACTTGATGTACCCTGCATCCGTGGAATACATGAATAGACAACGAATCATCCCAAATTGAGGAGGTGGACTTTGGGAGCAACTGTAGACTTGGGGTTTGCTTTCTGCATCAATCTGTTTCTGGTTTTATGTTTATGTTAGTTTAGTATTTAGAGCTTATTATCACTGGTATATTTATTGATTTAGTTGCTCTCTTCCTTTATATATATATATATTTTTTTTTTCTTTTTCCTTTTTCTCTTTTTGTGAGTGTGCATGTGTATGCTGCTTTGTGTGATTTTGTCTGTATAGGTTTGCTTTTACCATTTGTCCTAGGGTTCTGTCTGTCCATTTTTTTTTAGTATAGTTTTTAGCACTTGTTATCACTAGTGGATTTGTTTATTGGTTTGGTTGCTCTCTTCTTTTTTTAATTGCTTTTTAATTTTAATAATTTTTAAAATTTTTAATAATTTTATTTTATTTATTTATTTTCTTTCTTTCCTTTTTATCTCCCTTTTCTTCTGAGCCGTGTGGCTGACAGGGTCTTGGTGCTCTCGCTGGGTGTCAGGCCTGAGCCTCTGAGGTTGGAGAGCCGAGTTCAGGACATTGGACCACCAGAGACCTCCCAGCCCCATGTAATATCAAACGGCGAGAGCTCTCCCAGAGATCTCCATCTCAACGCTAAGACCCAGCTCCACTCAATGACCAGTAAGCTCCAGTGCTGGATGCCCCACACCAAACAACTAGCAAGACAGGAACACAACCCCACCCATTACACCTAAACCAACTAGAGAAAGAAGAACAAAAAAACCCAAAGTTAGCAGAAGGGAAGAAACCATAAAGATCACATCAGAAATAAATGAAAAAGAAATGAAGGAAACAATAGCAAAGATCAATAAAACTAAAAGCTGGTTCTTTGAGGAGATAAACAAAATTGATAAACCATTAGCCAGACTCATCAAGAAAAAAAGGGAGAAGACTCAAATCAATAGAATCAGAAATGAAAAAGGAGAAGTAACAACTGACACTGCAGAAATAAAAAAAATCATGAGGGATTACTACAAGCAACTCTATGCCAATAAAATGGACAATCTGGAAGAAATGGACAAATTCTTAGAAATGCACAAACTGCCAAGACTGAATCAGGAAGAAATAGAAAATATGAACAGACCAATCACAAACACTGAAATTGAAACTGTGATTAAAAATCTTCCAACAAACAAAAGCCCAGGACCAGATGGCTTCACAGGCGAATTCTATCAAACATTTAGAGAAGAGCTAACACCTATCCTTCTCAAACTCTTCCAAAATATAGCAGAGGGAGGAACACTCCCAAACTCATTCTACGAGGCCACCATCACCTTGATACCAAAACCAGACAAGGATGTCACAAAGAAAGAAAACTACAGGCCAATATCACTGATGAACACAGATGCAAAAATCCTCAACAAAATACTAGCAAACAGAACCCAACAGCACATTAAAAGGATCATACACCATGATCAAGTGGGGTTTATCCCAGGAATGCAAGGATTCTTCAATATACGCAAATCAATCAATGTGATAATCCATATTGACAAATTGAAGGATAAAAACCATATGATCGTCTCAATAGATGCAGAAAAAGCTTTTGACAAAATTCAACACCCATTTATGATAAAAACGCTCCAGAAAGTAGGCAAAGAGGGAACTCACCTCAACCATATATGGGCCATATATGGCAATATATGGCCATATATGACAAACCCACAGCCAACATCGTTTTTAATGGTGAAAAACTGAAACCATTTCCACTAAGATCAAAAACAAGACAAGGCTGCCCACTCTCACCACTATTATTCAACATAGTTTTGGAAGTTTTAGCCACGGCAAACAGAGAAGAAAAAGAAATAAAAGGAATCCAAATCGGAAAAGAAGAAGTAAAGCTGTCACTGTTTGCAGATGACATGATACTATACATAGAGAATCCTAAAGATGCCACCAGAAAACTACTAGAGCTAATCAATGAATTGGGTAAAGTAGCAGGATACAAAATTAATGCACAGAAATCTCTTGCATTCCTATACACTAAAGACAAAAAAATCTGAAGAGAAATTACGGAAACACTTCCATTTGCCATTGCAACAAAAAGAATAAAATACCTAGGAATAAACCTACTTAAGGACACAAAAGACCTGTATGCAGAAAACTATAAGACACTGATGAAAGAAATTAGAGATGATACAAACAGATGGAGAGATATACCATGTTCTTGGATTGGAAGAATCAACATTGTGAAAATGACTCTACTACCCAAAGCAATCTACAAATTCAATGCAATCCCTATCAAACTACCAATGGCATTTTTCACAGAACTAGAACAAAAAATCTTAAAGTCTGTATGGAGACACAAAAGACCCCGAATAGCCAAAGCAATCTTGAGAAAGAGATACGGAGGTGGAGGAATCAGGCTCCCTGACTTCAGACTATACTACAAAGCTACAGTCATCAAGACAGTATGGTACTGGCACAAAAACAGAAATATAGATCAATGGAACAGGATAGAAAGTCCAGAGATAAACCCACGCACATATGGTCACCTTATCTTTGAAAAAGGAGACAACAATAGACAATGGAGAAAAGAGAGCCTCTTCAATAAGTGGTGCTGGGAAAATTGTACAGCTACAATGTAAAAGAATGAAATTAAAACACTTTCTGGGCTTCCCTGGTGGCGCAGTGGTTGAGAGTCCGCCTGCCGATGCAGGGGACACGGGTTCATGCCCTGGTCTGGGAAGATCCCACATGCTGTGGAGTGGCTGGGCCTGTGAGCCATGGTCGCTGAGCCTGCGCGTCCAGATCCTGTGCTCCACAACGGGAGAGGCCACAACAATGAGAGGCCCGTGTACCGCAAAAAAAAACAAAAACACTTCCTAACACCATACACAAAAATAAATTCAAAATGAATTAAAGACCTAAATGTAAGGCCAGAAACTATCAAACTCTTAGAGGAAAACATAGGCAGAACACCTTATGACATAAATCACAGCAAGATCCTTTTTGACCCACCTCCTAGAGAAATGGAAATAAAAACAAAAATAAACAAATGGGACCTAATGAAACTTCAAAGCTTTTGCACAACCAAGGCAACCATAAACAAGACGAGAAGACAACCCTCATAATGGGAGAAAATATTTGCAAGTGAAGCAACTGACAAAGGATTAATCTCCCAAATATAGAAGCAGCTCATGCAGCTCAATATCAAAAATAAACCAACTCAATCCAAAAATGGGCAGAAGACCTAAATAGACATCTCTCCAAAGAAGATATACAGATTGCCAACAAGCACATGAAAGGTTGCTCAACATCACTAATCATTAGAGAAATGCATATCAAAACTACAATGTGGTATCACCTCACACTAGTCAGGATGGCCATCATCAAAGTCTAGAAACAATAAATGCTGGAGAGGGTGTGGATAAAAGGAACCCTCTTGCACTGTTGGTGGGAATATAAATTGATATAGCCACTATGGAGAACAGTATGGAGGTTCCTTAAAAAACTAAAAATAGAACTACCATATGATCCAGCAATCCCACTACTGGGCATATACCCTGAGAAAACCATAATTCAAAACGAATCATGTACCACAATGTTCACTGCAGCACTATTTACAATAGCCAGGACATGGAAGCAACCTAAGTGTCCATCGACAGAGGAATGGATAAAGAAGATGTGGCACATATATACAATGGAATATTACTCAGCCATAAAAAGAAATGAAATTGAGTTATTTGTAATGAGGTGGATGGACCCAGAGTCAGTCGTACAGAGTGAAGTGAAGTCCGAAAGAGAAAAACAAATACCGTATGCTAACACATATATATAGAATTTTTAAAAAAAGGTTCTGAAGAACGTAGGGGCAGGACAGGAATAAGGAAGCAACATAGAGAATGGACTTGAGGACACAGGGAGGGGGAAGGGTAAGCTGGGACGAAGTGAGAGAGTGGCATGGACTTTTATATACAACCAAATGTAAATTGGCTAGCTAGTAGGAAGCAGCCACATAGCACAGGGAGATCAGCTCGGTGCTTTGTGACCACCTAGAGGGGTGGTATAGGGAGGGTGGGAAGGAGACGCAAGAGGGCGGGGTTATGAGGACATAAGTATATGTATAGCTGATTCACTTTATTATACAGCAGTAACTAACACACCACTGTAAAGGAACTATACTCCAATAAAGATGTTTAAAAAAAAAAAGTGAGCTTAAAGTCACTGGGCTTATCAGAATTTTTACACAGAAACAGGGGAAGTTTACTTCCACTATTAAACCTGTTTTAAAGGGACACTGGAGAACTAAAATGAAATTATGTTTTGATCAACATTGTGAGGAGTGCTTAATCAATATATTGCTTTCATACATAAACAAATCAGTCTTTGGGAAACTACTGGTGCCATGTGGGATATGAGGTGGTAGAAAAATCCCTTTTTCCTAGGAAAGTGCTGTGATATCAATTATCCATTTATTCTGTTTTATTTCCTTTATAGCACATTATCTGTATCTGAAATTATCATGTTCACTTGCTAATTTATTTATTATCTCTCTGTAGGGTAAAATTACTTGAAAAAGTAAGCTACCCGAGAGCAGGGAGTTGGCCTGCTTTGTTCACTGGACATCCCCAGGGCACAGACCTTTAAAGTAGGTTTTCAGCAAGCACAGTAAGTTGAAGAAAGAGCACAAAGTGGCTCGTACCTGGGTAGAGATTGTAGACTGCCATTTTATACTCCTCCTTTTTCCGTACAGTGAACACATGTCCACTGAAATGAATAGAATGGATATTTTCATTGCTGCCCATGCTGAGCAGATACCATCGGATCTTTTGATCCTGAGCCATTGCTAAACCAGGTAGTGTATCCATCACATAGCCATTGATTGCTGGAGAAAGAAAACAGAGAAAGCTGTTAAAATCTATTGCATTTCTTTCCCTCCACTCCAGTCAAAAAATATTGATTCCTATGAGGATTCCACTCCCATACATATAGTCTCAAATCATACAATGTCGAAACCTCAGGCTCAAGGTTCATTTCACAGTGAGTAATATTTGGGTGTGGAATATATTACCATGGAAGCGATACTTTTCTCTAAAAGTGGGGTCCTCCATCTGGATGTTGCAGGGAGCCCTGCAGTTCCTTTCCATGTTTTCAGTGAAGTACCAGCTCTTGGTCTCATCAAAAATAGTGAAAAACAGAGCAAATTCCTGCACTGTCACTTGTCTCCCATGGGCAGCACTCAGAGTGTTTGTGCGGCAGATCAGAAGGGGTCCAATCAAGCCTGAGTGCACATCTTTTTCCTGAAAGACACCAGTCCTGTGAGCAAAAGTTCTCTCACCCATGAACCAGAGTGGATTTCTCATTAACTTTTATGCCACTCCAACCCACTCCCCATATTCCCACAGTACAATTTCTTCCTCTTTAGTAGATTCCAGAGCGATATGTCTAAGTCATAAATATGATGACAGCTCCCCTATTTAAAGCTTCCCATTATGCTTAGGATAAATACCAAACTTCAAACATAACACAAAGACTCTTTCTTTTAAACCAGGAAGAGGCCAGCACAACATAGACCTGCTTACCAGATCAACATCAGAAAAATAAGCCCAGGCTTTGCAGTCAAACTCATCTTTCGTTGGTGCCATATGATGCTGCACTTTCCAAAAGTAAGTTTTGGTTTCATTAGGCTTGACAAACTTTTTTCTAGGTTCTGCTCCTTCCCTCTGATCTTCCTCATAAGAAATAAGGCTAGAATAGAAGGAGTAGGGACGAGATGCCTGGTTTTTAAATGTTACCTGCAGAGCAAGAAAAAAAAAGAAAAGAAAAGAAATTAAAAAAGCAAGTGTTATGTTTTAAGATCTTGTAAAGTTCTTAGGTTAGGGTTTATATCCCTAATAGCAATGCCGATTTGGGGGGGGTTTATCCAGGTTTTTAATAGCTGGAGGAAATGGTACAGAGTATGGATGTTGTTAGAACCCAAACCTAAAGATCTACAAAAGAAACTGAGACATTTTTGAATTCCAAAATCTTTATGGCATGAACTCAAAGTTGCAAAGGAGAAAATTTCTAAATACTTAAAAGCAATTCCAATGTAAAAGGGAAAATATCAGCACAGGGGTTTTAAGAGACCAGAACCCTGGGAACTGACACCCTTAAGTTAAGGTTCTTCATGACAAATGCCAGGATGAATACTTAGGATATTTAAAGAAGACTTGTTTTTCAAATTAAAAAATATTATACATTTTCATGCGACATATGGAAAGTAAAATAAAATTGAAGTCAGAAAAAAATTCACTTACAATCCCATAATTTTAGATCCTCCTATATCCTTCATGTAAACAATCAATTGGGACAATGGATGACTGTTTCTGGAAAAAATAAAACTACCTTGATCTTTGGCTCACACACACCAAAACCAAATTCTAGTCTACAGGAATTATTGATGGAGTAAAAAGTTAAATGTTAAGAAATTAAACTGTAGAAGAAAGTTGAAAAAAGTATAGGTGATTTTAAGAAAAAAGAAATCTCTGTATAGGGAAGGATTTTTATAAATAAAAAAGCTATGCAAGTGTCATAAAGGAAAGATTTACGGGTTACTACCTAAAATTTCAAACCTGTTTTATTTTAAAAACCATTATATACAAAATTAAGAGAAAACAAACTTGGAAAAATATTATTCACTAAAATGATCAATGATCATTAATATATCAATGATCTATAATATACAAGGTAATATAAATGAACAAGAAAAGCACTCCCTCCAAAAATTTCAACTATGCAAAGGACATTAATAGATAATTCATTAGAGAAAGTCTTAAAATGTTCACGTACATTGCACTCCTGGAATTTTATCCTAGGAAAAGCGTTGTGGCTGCAGCATTACTTAAATAGTTAAAAAAAAAAAAAGAAACTATCTAAAAGGTTGTGCAAAGTAGACGGTTAAGTAAACCATAAAATCATATAATGGACTAATATTCCATCATTTAAAAATATATGTAGGGTTTTTGTTTCCTGGTGCGCGAGGAGAGGGGATTAAGAGCGCTGCTTAAAGGAGCTCCAGAGACGGCGTGAGCCGCGGCTAACAGCGCGGACCCCAGAGACGGGCATGATACGCTAAGGCTGCTGCTGCCGCCACCAAGAAGCCTGTGTGAGAGCACAGGTCACTCTCCACACCCCACTTCCGAGGAGACTGTGCAGCTCGCCACTGCCAGGGTCCCGGGATCCAGGGTCAACTTCCCCGGGAGAACGCACGGCGCGCCTCAGGCTGGTGCAACGTCATGCCGACTTCTGCCGCCGCAGCCCCGCCCCGCACTCCGTGCCCCTCCCTGCCCCCGGCCTGAGTGCGCCAGAGCCCCCAAGTCAGCGGCTTCTTTAACCCAGTCCTGTCCGAGCGGGAACAGATGCCCTCCGCGACATACATGCTGAGGCGGGGCCAAATCCAAAGCTGAGCCCCGGGAGCTGTGAGAACAAAGAAGAGAAAGGGAAATCTCTCCCAGCAGCCTCAGGAGCAGCGGATTAAAGCTCCACAATCAACTCGATGTACCTGCATCTGTGGAATACATGAATAGACAACGAATCATCCCAAATTGAGGAGGCGGACTTCTAGAGCAAGATTTATGATTTTTTCCCCTTTTCCTCTTTTTGTGAATGTGTATGTGTATGCTTCTGTGTGAGATTTTGTCTGTATAGCTTTGCTTCCACCATTTGTCCGAGGGTTCTATCCATCCGTTTTTTTGCTCTTAATAATTATTTTTTTATTTTAATAACTTTATTATATTTTTTCTTTAGTTTACTTTATCTTCTTTCTTTCTTTTTTCCTTCCTTCCTTCGTTCCTCCCTCGCTCCCTCCCTCCTTTCTTTCTTTCTTTCTTCCTACTTCTAACCTTTTATTCTGAGCCGAGTGGATGAAAGGCTCTTGCTGCTCCAGCCAGGAGTCAGGACTCTGCCTCTGAGGTGGGAGAGCCAACTTCAGAACACTCGTCAAGAAGAGACCTCCCAGCCCCACATAATATCAAACGGCGAAAATCTCCCAGAGATCTCCATCTCAACACCAGCACCCAGCTTCACTCAACGACCAGCAAGCTACAGTGCTGGACAACCTATGCCAACCATATAGCAAAACAGGAACACAACCCCACCCACTAGCAGAGAGGCTGCCTAAAATCATAATAAGTCCACAGACACCCCAAAACACACCACCAGACGTGGACCTGCCCACTAGAGAGACAAGATCTAGCCTCATACACCACAACACAGCCACTAGTCCCCTCCACCAGGAAGCCTACACAACGCACTGAACCAACCTTAGCCACTGGAGACAGACATCAAAAACAACGGGAGCTACGAACTTGCAGCCTGCAAAAAGGTGAACCCAATCACAGTAAGATAAGCAAAATGAGAAGACAGAAAAACACACAGCAGATGAAGGAGCAAGATAAAAACCCACCAGACCTAACAAATGAAGAGGAAATAGGCAGTCTACCTGAAAAAGAGTTCAGAATAATGATAGTAAAGATGATCCAAAATCTTGGAAATAGAATGGACAAAATGCAAGAAGCAGTTAACAAGGACCTAGAAGAAATAAAGATGAAACAGACAATGATCAACAACACAATAAATGAAATTAAAAATACTCTAGATGGGATCAATAGCAGAATAACTGAGGCAGAAGAACGGATAAGTGACCTGGAAGATAAAATAGTGGAAATAACTACTACAGAGCAGAATGAAGAAAAAAGAATGCAAATAACTAAGGACAGTCTCAGAGACCCATGGGACAACATTAAACACACCAGCATTCGAATTATAGGGGTTCCAGAAGAAGAAGAGAAAAAGAAAGGGACTGAGAAAATATTTGAAGAGATTAGAGTTGAAAACTTCCCTAATATGGGAAAGGAAATAGTTTATCAAGTCCAGGAAGCACAGAGAGCCCCATACAGGATAAATCCAAGGAAAAATATGCCAAGACATGTATTAATCAAACTGTCAGAAATTAAATACAAAGAAAACATATTAAAAGCAGCAAGGGAAAAACAACAAATAACACACAAGGGAATCCCCATAAGGTTAACAGCTGATCTCTCAGCAGAAACTCTACAAGCCAGAAGGGAGTGGCAGGACATACTGAAAGTGATGAAGGAGAAAAACCTGCAACCAAGATTACTCTACCCAGCAAGGATCTCATTCAGATTTGATGGAGAAATTAAAACCTTTACAGACAAGCAAAAGCTGAGAGAGTTCAGCACCACCAAACCAGCTTTACAACAAATGCTAAAGGAACTTCTCTAGACAAAAACACAAGAGAAGGAAAAGTCCTATAATAACGAACCCAAAACAATTTAGAAAATGGGAATAGGAACATACATATCGATAATTACCTTAAATGTAAATGGACTAAATGCTCCCACCAAAAGACACAGATTGGCTGAATGGATACAAAAACAAGACCCATATATATGCTGTCTACAAGAGACCCACTTCAGACCTAGAGACACATACAGACTGAAAGTAAGGGGATGGAAAAAGATATTCCATGCAAATGGAAACCAAAAGAAAGCTGGAGTAGCAATTCTCATATCAGACAAAATAGACTTTAAAATAAGGACTATCAGAAGAGACAAAGAAGGACACTACATAATGATTAAGGGATCGATCCAAGAAGAAGATATAACAATTGTAAATATTTATGCACCCAACATAGGAGCACCTCAATACATAAGGCAAAAACTAGCAGCCATAAAAGGGGAAATCGACAGTAACACATTCATAGTAGGGGACTTCAACACCCCACTTTCACCAATGGACAGATCATCCAAAATGAAAATAAATAAGGAAACACAAGCTTTAAATGATACATTAAACAGGATGGACTTAATTGATATTTATAGGACACTCCATCCAAAAACAACAGAATACACATTTTTCTCAAGTGCTCATGGAACATTCTCCAGGATAGATCATATCTTGGGTCACAAATCAAGCCTTGGTAAATTTAAGAAAATTGAAATTATATCAAGTATCTTTTCCGACCACAACGCCATGAGATTAGATATCAATTATAGGAAAAGAGCAGTAAAAAATACAAACACATGGAGGCTAAACAATACACTACTTAGTAACGAAGTGATCACTGAAGAAATCAAAGAGGAAATTAAAAAATACCTAGAAACAAATGACAATGGAGATACAACGACCCAAAACCTATGGGATGCAGCAAAAGCAGTTCTAAGAGGGAAGTTTATAGCAATACAAGCCCACCTTAAGAAGCAGGAAACATCTCGAATAAACAACCTAACCTTGCACCTCAAGCAATTAGAGAAAGAAGAACAAAAAAACCCCAGAGTTAGCAGAAGGAAAGAAATCATAAAAATCAGATCAGAAATAAATGAAAAAGAAATGAAGGAAACAATAGCAAAGATCAATAAAACTAAAAGCTGGTTCTTTGAGAAGATTAACAAAATTGATAAACCATTAGCCAGACTCATCAAGAAAATAAGGGAGAAGACTCAAATCAATAGAATCAGAAATGAAAAAGGAGAAGTAACAACTGACACTGCAGAAATACAAAAAATCATGAGGGATTACTACAAGCAACTCTATGCCAATAAAATGGACAATCTGGAAGAAATGGACAAATTCTTAGAAATGCACAAACTGCCAAGACTGAATCAGGAAGAAATAGAAAATATGAACAGACCAATCACAAACACTGAAATTGAAACTGTGATTAAAAATCTTCCAACAAACAAAAGCCCAGGACCAGATGGCTTCACAGGCGAATTCTATCAAACATTTAGAGAAGAGCTAACACCTATTCTTCTCAAACTCTTCCAAAATATAGCAGAGGGAGGAACACTCCCAAACTCATTCTACGAGGCCACCATCACCTTGATACCAAAACCAGACAAGGATGTCACAAAGAAAGAAAACTACAGGCCAATATCACTGATGAACATAGATGCAAAAATCCTCAACAAAATACTAGCAAACAGAATCCAACAGCACATTAAAAGGATCATACACCATGATCAAGTGGGGTTTATTCCAGGAATGCAAGGATTCTTCAATATACGCAAATCTATCAATGTGATTAACCATATTAACAAATTGAAGGAGAAAAACCATATGATCATCTCAATAGATGCAGAGAAAGCTTTTGACAAAATTCAACACCCATTTATGATAAAAACCCTGCAGAAAGTAGGTGTAGAGGGAACTTTCCTCAATATAATAAAGGCCGTATATGACAAGCCCACAGCCAACATCATCCTCAATGGCGAAAAACTGAAAGCATTTCCACTAAGGTCAGGAACAAGACAAGGTTGCCCACTCTCACCACTCTTATTCAACATAGTTTTGGAAGTTTTAGCCACAGCAATCAGAGAAGAAAAGGAAATAAAAGGAATCCAAATCGGAAAAGAAGAAGTAAAGCTGTCACTGTTTGCAGATGACATGATACTCTACATAGAGAATCCTAAAGATGCTACCAGAAAACTACTAGAGCTAATCAATGAATTTGGTAAAGTAGCAGGATACAAAATTAATGCACAGAAATCTCTGGCATTCCTATATACTAATGATGAAAAATCTGAAAGTGAAATCAAGAAAACACTCCCATTTACCATTGCAACAAAAAGAATAAAATATCTAGGAATAAACCTACCTAAGGAGACAAAAGACCTGTATGCAGAAAATTATAAGACACTGATGAAAGAAATTAAAGATGATACAAACAGATGGAGAGATATACCATGTTCTTGGATTGGAAGAATCAACATTGTGAAAATGACTCTACTTCCCAAAGCAATCTATAGATTCAATGCAATCCCTATCAAACTACCACTGGCATTTTTCACAGAACTAGAACAAAAAATTTCACAATTTGTATGGAAACACAAAAGACCCCGAATAGCCAAAGCAATCTTGAGAACAAAAAATGGAGCTGGAGGAATCAGGCTGCCTGACTTCAGACTATACTACAAAGCTACAGTAATCAAGACAGTATGGTACTGGCACAAAAACAGAAAGATAGATCAATGGAATAGGATAGAAAGCCCAGAGATAAACCCATGCACATATGGTCACCTTATCTTTGATAAAGGTGGCAGGAATATACAGTGGAGAAAGGACAGCCTCTTCAATAAGTGGTGCTGGGAAAATTGGATAGGTACATGTAAAAGTATGAGATTAGATCACTCCCTAACACCATACACAAAAATAAGCTCAAAATGGATTAAAGACCTAAATGTAAGGCCAGAAACTATCAAACTCTTAGAGGAAAACATAGGCAGAACACTCTATGACATAAATCACAGCAAGATCCTTCTTGACCCATCTCCTAGAGTAATGGAGATAAAAACAAAAATAAACAAATGGGACCTAATGAAACTTCAAAGCTTTTGCACAGCAAAGGAAACCATAAACAAGACCAAAAGACAGCCCTCAGAATGGGAGAAAATATTTGCAAATGAATCAACTGACAAAGGATTAATCTCTAAAATTTACAGGCAGCTCATGCAGCTCAATAACAAAAAAATAAACAACCCAATCCAAAAATGGGCAGAAGACCTAAATAGACATTTCTCCAAAGAAGATATACAGACTGCCAACAAACACATGAAAGAATGCTCAACATCATTAATCATTAGAGAAATGCAAATCAAAACTACAATGAGATATCATCTCACACCAGTCAGAATGGCCATCATCAAAAAATCTAGAAACAATAAATGCTGGAGAGGGTGTGGAGAAAAGGGAACACTCTTGCACTGCTGGTGGGAATGTGAATTGGTTCAGCCACTATGGAGAACAGTATGGAGGTTCCTTAAAAAACTACAAATAGAACTACCATATGACCCAGCAATCCCACTACTGGGCATATACCCTGAGAAAACCAGAATTCAAAAAGAGTCATGTACCAAAATGTTCATTGCAGCTCTACTTACAATAGCCCAGAGATGGAAACAACCTAAGTGTCCATCATCGGATGAATGGATTAAGAAGATGTAGCACATATATACAATGGAATATTACTCAGCTATAAAAAGAAACGAAATTGAGCTATTTGTAATGAGGTGGATAGACCTAGAGTCTGTCATACAGAGTGAAGTAAGTCAGAAAGAGAGAGACAAATACCGTATGCTAACACATATATATGGAATTTAAGAAAAAAATTGTCATGAAGAGCCTAGGGGTAAGACAGGAATAAAGACACACATCTAGTAGAGAATGGACTTGAGGATATGGGGAGGGGGAAGGGCAAGCTGTGATAAAGTGAGAGAGAGGCATGGACATATATACACTCCCAAACGTAAGGTAGAGATAGCCAGTGGGAAGCAGCCGCATGGCACAGGGAAACCGGCTCGGTTCTTTGTGGCTGTCTGGAGGGGTGGGATAGGGAGGGTGGGAGGGAGGGAGACAAAGAGGGAAGAGATATGGGAACATATATATATGTATAACTGACTCACTCTGTTATAAAGCAGAAACTAACACACCATTGTAAAGCAATTATACCCCAATAAAGATGTTTTTGTGCCCCGGTCCGGGAAGATCCCACATGCTGTGGAGCGACTAGGCCCGTGAGCCACGGCCGCTGAGCCTGCGCGTCCGGAGACCGTGCTCCGCAACGGAAGAGGCCACAACAGTGACAGGCCCGCGTACCCCGCACCAAAAAAAAAAAAAAAAAAAAAAAAAAAAAAAAAAAATATATATATATATATATATATGTAGGAAGTGTTTTTAATGACATAAGAAATGTTTATGACATATTTATTTAAAAAAGGATGATCCATTGTATAATTTTGAATACATAAATAGAATACATAGGAGAAACATAAGGACATACAGCAAAATGATAATTATGGTATTATTTTTCAACTTCCTTATTTTCTATACTTTGTTTCAAAAGTGAGAATACATTATTTTTATTAAAAAAATTATTGGAGTATAGTTGATTACAATGTTTGTGTTAGTTTCAGGTGTACAG